TGTTACATACAGCACTGATGTTACCTGTCTATCATGGGTTTGGAGGGAAAGTTCCATCCTATGGGGAGTGGAAGGCGGGACATCAGGAGGAGGGGCTGTACTGTATAAATATGTGAAGCGTGTGTGGAGAGTTTTTAGAGAAGTGTATTTCAGGCTTCTGGTCATAATCTAATATTTAAGCAGGGTTTCTGTTTCAGAGCTGTATTGCCTTCTTTATCAGAATATGAGTGACTGGTCTTTCCAAAGCCATGCCTTCATTCCCAAAATGGGTTCCAAACATCAAAATTGAACAGATTAAAATCCCACAAATGCCCCGCAGGCAAACATGGAAGTGCCCTGTGCTGTCATTCTGTTGCTCTTCCATTACAGGGACAGGCAGGAATGAAGCATGGCAATCGAAACAAGAAGCAGGCTCTCAAGTCAGCATCTACGGACCTTGGGACAAGTGACGTAGGCAAGTAACAAACACGTACCTTGGCACCTAACAAGTTCATTCATGTCAAATTCTTACATAGCATCCACTGTATTTGTCATGTCTTTTTTTGTGTTCAGTGTAAGTGAAATAAATACTAAGTTTGGGGAAGGATACTTGCAAATGGGGAGCTGCTGCTTCCCTCCTGATTTTTTCCTTGGGATTCCTTATGTAGATGGTATGATGGGACTGCCCTAAATCCAGTTGAAGAAGACAGAGAACCCACGTATAATTCCCATAGGAGAGGGTCACTAAAACTGAGGGCCTCTAAATAAAAAAGAATAGGTATAAGCAGAGGATAACAACTAGGGCTATACCAGAATCTTCACTTGGGCCTAATAAATCCTTGGTCAAGGAGCCCTCTGAGTCCAAGCTCAAATGATTTTATTTATTTTATTTTATTAGATTTATATACCGCCCATTCTAGAACATGTCTACTCTGGACAGTTTACATATAATATAAAAAATAAACTAAGATAAAATCCAGATTAATCCAAAATGGGAAAAGAAAAAAGAAAAAGGGGAAAAAGGAGAGGAAAAAGTTTTAATTCTGCCGTCTGAGACTTAGATTAGAATGGTTCCTAAATTTAGGTCCTCAGATAATCTTGGACTACAACTCTCATAATCCTTAGTCAGCATGAGAGTGATGTCAGCATGGTCCAGCATGGTGATGGGAGTTGTAGACAAAAAACACGTGGGTACCCAGGTTTGGGAACCACTGGATCAGGTGACCTACCTAGCTGTTTTTTTAATTGTGTCAAGGCGAAGTCCAGTAGACTTTGGCTACAAAGAATAATTGTTATCCTGTGGGTAGCTACTTCTCCTAAAGAAGCAAGAGCCAAGGCCATCAGAAATTATGGCATTAGAATTAGACTCAATAGAGTGAACTCCTTCTACTTTCTCATATTCCGCTTACAGACATTAAGGTGCCATTTAATAAGCTTTAAAATGTAGAACTCCAAGGCTCTAATCTGTTTCCTTCATGTGACTAACTCTTGGTGGGCTTTTCCGTGGCCAAATGCCTTGGATGGAATCCCAAGTTGTTGGTAGGCTTGTCTGGTGGGTACAGTGTGCAGCAGCAAACAGCAAAACTCCAGAGAGTTTCCATTTTTATATCCCACCTGGCCTTGGCAGAGTGTTGCTACTCTTTCTTTAAATTTTCTCTTAACCTCCCTGGAATACTGTAAATGTTTGTAATCAATTAGAGCAAAGAGCTGCTGTTTTTCATAGCTCATATTCCCTAGTATTTGTCAGTATGCCAGCAAAGTCTTCCATGATAGAGGTGGGGAACTTTTGACCTTCCAGGTGTTTCAGCAAACACCTTTCATCAGCCCGACCCAGGATGGCAGTCGGCTCTCGTTGCCTAATCAGATAGTGCACACTAGCCCTTCTTGCATCACTTCCTCTGTGATTGTTCATCTCATCTATGGATTGCTCTGTTTTCTATCTAAAGTTGAGGATTTATAGAACTATAAAGCAATCTTCCTCAGCCAGGGGAACTCAAAGAGTTTTGGACTTGCAGTGGGTCTTTTATGCATTCTGAAGAATGTGTTTGCCGCGGCTACCTTTTCCTGTGGAAGTTGGTTTGCAAAACAGTTGTGACAAAGAAACGAACCTACACACACCATTCCACAATTTCTCCATACAGACAGAAGACACTACAGAACTGAACTAACTTGCCCCCCCACCTTTCTTCTTCTTCTTCTTTTTGCTGTGGTTAGTGATAGGAGTTGCTAATTCGATTTGGACAGGGCAAGCTAAACTGGTGAGGAAGTTCCCCTCACCAGCAGATGTGGAGTGTTGAAAATGCTCTTGTAAACAAACTGCACAGCAATATTCTGCTGTTTCTTTAAGACTCACTTTAAAGCATGAAACCTCTGTACCCCCACCCTCCAATGGAAAATAGCTTGGGGCGGGCCTGCTATATTTGTTACGTGCCTGTTTAATATTAGCAACGAATCCTGCCTGCCAGGACCCAGCACTGCTGCTAACTGGAAACTAGAACTGCCACGCAGCTCTTTACTTGACGAATGGTTTCAGAGCTATTGCTAAGATGCAGCCCTGGCTGCGGTGCACCGTTCCCTCAGCAGAGGAACTTGTGGAAAATGACTGGCAGCGTGCTTAGAGCTGACTGGAGGCAAACATTCTTTTCTGCTTAGAGCAATGTTTCCCAACTGGGGTGGGGCCACAGGGGAAAGAGGGAAATGTTCTGCTCATCTGATAGGTAATAGGTCTATAACAGTTAAGTCCCAGGGGTGTCTTTGGGTCACAAACCCACTGGGATAGTTGAAAGTTGATTGATTGGTTGGTTTCTTGATTTGCCTTAATATATTGTTTTCTATTTATTTATATATTTATTTATTTGTTGTATAAAAATTAACAAAAGTTTATAATGTAGCTAGGATATTGGTAAATTTCCGAAACTTACTTAGATGGTGCTTTCTAAGTACAGTGGTGCCTCGCTTAGTGATGTTAATCGGTGCAGCAAAAATCGCTGCTCACCGAAAACATCGCTAAACGATTTTTAAAAGCCCATAGGAATGCATTGAAACCCCTTCAATGCGTTCCTATGGGCAAAAAACTTACCTTTAAGCGAAAATCGTCCATACGGTGGCCATGCGAGGAATCCATCCCTAAACACAGCGGGCGGCCATGTTTTTTTCCGGCGGCCATTTTGGAACCACTGATCAGCTGTAGGAAAAAGATCGCTATGCTATAATCAGTAAGCGAAACAGCTTACCGATCATTGCAAAGCGATTTTTCCTATTTAAAACATTGCAATGCGATCGCTTTTTCGATCGCAAATTCTTCGTTGCTAAGTGGTTTCGTCATTAAACGGGGCGCTCGTTAAGCAAGACATCACTGTATATTATTAATTTACTAAGAGGGAGATGGAATGGTAATGACTTTCCTGAAGCCAGCCACTCCCCTTCATGACTGTGTCTACGCCAAAGTTACCTCTGTAAAAACTCAACACATACTGTACTCGCTGCATCCCCTAATCCTACTCTCTAAGAGCCTGTTGTGTGCTGAGTTCAACACAGTAAATCACTGTGGTGCTTATTGTTACCTGTTCATCAAGTGGACAGAGGCTGGACTGAAACTTTGAACAGGAAGTGGTGATGGGTATGGACACATGAGAAGAGACCACAGTAATGCATTAAAGGTGATCTGTTTTGCTGCATGCAAAAGGTCTCTAACATTAGCTGACGTTATTGTCATCTGTGGAAACAATTGGTCAGTTGTGTTTGATCTAAACTATGATTGTAATGGGACTAGTAAGCCAGGAAGCTCATTTCAAAATATCTCAGTCCTCTTGAGGAATATGTTAATTAAATTAAAGTCAGCAGCAGGCAATGATTGATCCAAAGGCAACATGTTGTACTCCATGGTTTCAATTAGAATTAGCATGGCTTATTTATTCATTTTTTGAGAAAATTCCAAAGGGCTAAAATGATGAAGAGCTCTGTGGCACCTTGAAGACCAACGTACGTATTAACTGATAAATCTTTATGGTCCATAGCCCTCTACACAAGATAGATGAAGGATTATCCATAATTTCAGGTTTGGGATGTGAGCAGGTGGTGAGATTCAAAGGAAATTAAGTGCAGGAAGTATGAGTAGTGACTCTTTTCCTGCATAGTTTTTGTTGTGTGCCATCAAGCCATTTCTGATTTATGGCAACCCATGTTAGATTTCCCTCCTTTCTCTGTTCATTGTGCTGTTTTTTACAATGCAATGCAAAATTTGTATTGCAGATTTGTATGTGATTCTTAGGTGGTTGTTTTTTACAGGATTTTTTTCCATAGTTGTGGTTGTTTCTGTCACCATCTCAAGTAGTGAAACAATATTCAGGGGTTGAAGATGGGGGAAAGGTTAAATTCCAGTAGAAATTGTTAGGAAGAGCGATGCAAACTGTTAAACAGTTTGGTGGTGTTTGTACTTGGCCAAAGCTGTCCAATGCCTGAAGCCCTGAGAAATGAGGAAGAACGACTAAAGGAATCTGATCTATCTGGGAATGTGCTTCTTGCTGGGGGAAGACTTTGAAAGTAGTAAAGGGACAGTCTATACATCAGCAAAGTGGCAGAAGACACACACTATGCCTCGGTTGACCCAGATGGGAGCAAGTCACTCATTGCTTCATGATGCTTTGTCTTGGAAACAGCAGCAACAGCTTATGTTATTTCTGTGATCAGCAGACTGTGATATCTGAAACAAATATTCTCCTCCCACTCGTCCATCCAGCCCTGGATTTAATCCAAAGTGGGGCTACAAATCCCAGAATCCCCCTGCATTGCCACTAGGGGTCCTGGCAGTTTTGTAGTCTAAAACCATACATTTCCCAAACTCTAAGCTAGCCAGCAGCGCTGACCCAGACATCTTGGGACCGGGTCAAAGCTTCTGGATCGTGACTGCAAGGTGTTGTCAGTCAACTCTTTAGCTGGTTGTCTTTGTTGCAGTTGGGGGATCACTGACCGTGTTTCTCGTGTCTCTTCTCATTCCTTCCTCCCTGTGCCTCCTCCTTTAGTGCTGGGCCGCGTCCTGGAGGTAACCGACCTACCTGAGGGCATCACGCGTACCGAGGCCGACAAGCTCTTCACTCAACTTGCCATGTCTGGTGCCAAAATCCAGTGGCTCAAAGAGACTCACGGGCGCCCTGGGGGCGGCGGCGACAACAACCACGGAACTGCAGAGAACGGCAGGCATACTGACCTTGCTGCCTTATACACCATTGTGGCCGTCTTCCCCAGCCCTTTGGCAGCCCAGAATGCCTCCCTGCGTCTCAACAACTCCCTTAGCTGCTTCAAGTTGCGAATGGCCAAAAAGAACTATGACCTGCGTGTACTGGAGCGTGCCAGCTCCCAATAGGGGCAGGTGGAGGGGCAGGGCGTGGGGTCCACAAGCACACTGGACTGGCCTTTCCGGTCCCCACTCTGTCCCTTGACTCCTCTTCTGCCTCCCACCCTACTTTATTTCCACATGCACCTCCTCCTTTCTTTCTTTCTTTTTTTTAAATGGTGGGAAACTGGGGGGCGGAATCTTTCTGGAGATATTTATACGGACAGAATGAAGAGAAGAGACATTGATTTTTGTTTTTGTTTGGGGGTTTCTGTTTTTATTTTATTTTATTTTTTTTTTGCGTGGAAGAACATGTCCCACCCCTTGCCCCCTTTCCAGAACATGTGTATATTGTTTTTGTTCAGCGTTGTGCCGCGGTACGCAGCCGTATTTAATTGCACATACAGATGTTGGCTGGGTATGTTCACTGTACATTTTATTTAATCTGGGTTTATTATTATTAATATTATTATTTGGTTTTTAAATATAAAAAAAATTGTCTGTCACTTTAAAGCTGCTTCTTCCCTGTCTCTCTTTTTCTGGATGTCGTAAGAGTGGAGCATGTCTGCAAGCAAGGAACACTATACCATTATGAATCTAAGAATTGTCCATGGCCAATGTCTTGCTAGAGGTTTTAGCTAGTAGAGAGTATTTAGTTGCCATATAGAATATCTCACACTTGGACTCAAGCAGCACAATAGTAGTTATATTATCTCTGATTATTATCCAGGGATGAGGGCTTGCGTTGTGGGACTTACTGTCAGGTTGGACTTAAGTCGCACAATTGACTTGACTCAGGTTCTTTTTTTCAATTTTTCTGTGGGGGAAAATCTTCTTTTTAATAGGGACTCCAACTTGGGGGTCGGGACTTGGTACCAAAGACTCAGACCCAGAACTCTGATCCAGAGACTTGCCAACATCTTTCTCTATCTTCAGTGATCTTAACTCTATCATCAGTCAGGCAGCAGTGGCATATTTGAATTGCATGACTTTTTTTAAAGGTAGGTGTGCTTTTGATTGTGTGTGCTTAAGATTGTGTGTCTTCAATCTTAAGACACACATTTGCCATTTTGCAAACTTAGGGGACAGAAAGGGTTTGTGCAATGTCTCTTTATACCTTGTAAAAAAACCCAGAGGCATAGCAGTTTGCTAGCCACTTTATATTTGGTATGAAGGTAATCTGGCCATTGGGCAGATAGAAACCTGCTATGAATCTGAAGCTTTAGTGACATAGGGTAAGAGGAAAAAGAGACAGATTATCGCCGTGTCAGGGATCAGGTCTGAAACAAGAGATGGATGTGCTAAATAAAAATATATTTATGAAAGTATGCAGCTCATCACAACACTCACCGCATACCTAGGATTTAAAGGTAAGAACAATGAAGTTGGAACACCTACATCTAGCCAAACATTAGCTATAGAACCTCTTGATTTCAGTTATGTACTGTGGATAAAATGCATAAATGAGATAAATTTGAAATGTGGAATTTAACCTATGTGTAATCTTGCCTGCATACAAAATCATATCCACTTCAAAACATATTCATCCTTCCTCTTAGCAGAGATTATTTTGACTGCTTATTCAAAATAGCAACAAAGAAAATAATTGAATCTCTCTTATCCAGAGAGCAGAGGTGCTATTCATTGTTTCTAATTATATCATCTGCCAAATTTACAACATGCTAATTCCAAGTGCAAAATAGTTTGGTTTTAAATATGCTTCCTCACAAATATTTGGATCTATGTATGTTTTCTGCCTTTAAAAAAGCCGAATCAAATTTATATGGCATATAACTCTGGAATCTTTGTGAATTATGCGAAATAACCCAGTTGCATAGGCCTGTCCATATTTAGCATACTTAATTTGCCTTCTGCTACTTTGGGGAGGGGTCTAAATGTATTGGAGGTACTAATGCTTTATCTACTCATAATTTGTAGTCTGTGCCTCTCTACTGATAGTTGAGGTTTAGAGTTTGCTAACCACTACATTTTCAGTGGTGAGAAACTTAGTTTGTGTAAGGTTTATGTTAGATGCTGCAGCTCATTGATGAGGTTCTGGGGCGCTCCTTGGTTTCTGCAGTCTGGTGCATAACCAGATGTAATGCACCTTATCACTTTGTTGGTCAACTGCAGTTAGCCATGGAAAATTCTGCAACCTTACATGAAGACCAGTAGGATTCTGGCAAGTGACTCTAGATATGTCTGAGTTTGGTGGGACCTGCTTTCAAGAGAAGTAAATATAAATTGTGGTGCAATGACTAAGAGCTTGAATTGCAAAGCAGACATGTCAGCTCATTACCACTCAGCTCTGTTGCTCTCCCATTGTCAGTCACTGTGTGAGATAATATGTGGAACTACTGCTTTAAAAATCATATCTGATTTGATATGTTGGGTGAAAGTGCAAACTTGAATGATGATGTGTTTATAAATCAAGGATGGGGATGGACTGCATATCCTATAATCTTTCACTGTCCTCCGTGCTGGCTGGGGCTGAGAAGAGCTCTGGGATAAAAAGATATGGAAGTCTACAGTCCTGGTAACCCACCCCACGTATAAATTGGCATCAGTATACATGACACTTGACACAATTCATTTCTGAGGCCTTACAATCATATGATAAATCTGTGCAGTTGGCAAATGTAGTCAGGTTGTTGTCTGGCTAGGCACTGTAGCAAGCAGAATATCCCAAGCTTAATCCGTAGCATCTCCATGGGAAAAAAAACCACCAAGATGTCTCTGGTAGCTGGTAACTTTTTTTTGGTCTTTGCTTTTGGAGAGGTGACGGCAGTCACATTGTAGATTCCTAGTCGACTGGGCAAATAGCCTAATCTAATACAAGTCACCTTTCTCTATACTTTACATAATAGTCCCTGTACTCTATATTTTGATCCTTGTCTGGTGTTCATGGGCAAAATTCAACACTCTGCTGCTAGAGAAGATTAACCTGTATTAACTATTGAAGTAAGTTGGTCTCTTTTTTACTTTGATTGGGTAGTAGTGGAGCCTCGTGGCGCAGTGGTTAAATCGCTGTACTGCAGCTAAAACTGTGCTCACAACCTGGGGTTCAATCCCAGGTAGCCGGCTCAAGGTTGTCTCAGCCTTCTAGCCTTCCGAGGTCGGTAAAATGAGTACCCAGCTCGCTGGGGGGGGGGGCAATGTGTAGCCTGCATAATTAAATTGTAAACCGCCCAGAGTGCTTGAAGCGCTATGGGGCGGTATATAAGCAGCACGCGTTGCTTTTTTGCTTTGTTATGTGCCATCAAGTCAATGCCTCGCCTCTGGAACAACTTGCTCTTAGAGATCCGCCTGGCTCTCTCTCTGGGTATCTTTAGAAGTAAACTAAAGACATGGCTATTTAGGCAGGCTTTCCCTCCTGCCGTATTTTAATATCGATATTTTTTACATCTTGGATTTTTACTTGTTATTGGTTTTATTGTTTTTAAATTTTGTTATGCTGCCCAGAGTAGACTATCTGTCTAGATGAGCGGGGTACAAATCTAATAAAATAAATAAATAAGTCAGAACCGACTTGTGGTGACCCTAACAGGGCTTTCAAGGTAAGTGAGACATTTAAGAAGTAGTTTTACAAGTTCTGCACATCTAAGTGAGTTTCTTTAGATGGGTCAGGATTCAAACCGAGGCCTCCTGAATCCTAGTCCGCCATTATCCCCTACACTACGCTTGACCGGTTTAGCCGTCAACAGATTGGTAAGATGGGGGGGGGGGCAGGCTGATGAATGTTTTTTGGCATCAGTACTAAAAGCTGGTGTCATCCACACAGACCTGGAGGAGCTTCGCCAAGAGAAGAAGAAAAAAATGGCTGCCTAGTTTCAGTCACCTTAGACTCGATTAGCTTTGAGTCAGTGGAGTGTGGGATGCAACTGTGTTCATAATGCTGTCTTAAGTTATGCCCTTGTGTAAGGAATGTGAATTTGGCCATATTGAGGCAGGGAGATGAAAAATTAGGAAGCCTACTGAGATCTTGCATAGTTTTCATACATATTAGTACTTCCGTACTTCCGTACTCATAAAAGTTTTCCTTAGCCTTGGGTGTTCTGCTGAGGTGCAAATTTGCAGCATTGACTTGGGAAGCCTGGGAGCCTGAGCCCTGTTTGCTGCTTAGAGACCTCCTGGGCAAATGGATCCGAACGTTGTCCCCTCTCGATACCATTATCTGAAAAGTCCCCACCTCTCTTCGGTCCCTCGGTGGGAGGCCTGAGCTTGCTGCATTGCTGTCTCGGGCCGTTTGACCCACTGTTCATATTCAGGCTCCTCTCTAGTGTCCAATTTCTCTGTGTCAGCCCTCCCAATGGATGGCAGCTGTCTTTTCCCCTCTCGCCCTGTCACTCGAGTTCCTTGTGGTGCTTCTGGGACGGCAAACTTTTACATGTTCAGAGCCAGGAAGGGGGAACTCTTTATCTCCCATGGATCTCTAAAGTGAGATGTTGGGCAGGGCAGAGGAGAGCTGAGTTTCCAAAGGGGGCTCCTGGATAATTTCAAAAAGGATTTAATCTGCAGGAAGTGTGCACCTTCATTCTGGAAGGTAAGTGGAGTTTCTGCTCTCCCTCCCCCCAGCCCTCACTAGAAGCTGCTGTCTTCTCACAGGAATTTAAAGTCTTTTTTTCCTCCACCCTGGAGCTTTAAAACACAGTAAAGTTGTCTTACTAGACTGCGTAACTCCTTTTTGCTTGTCCATCTCCCCCCCCCATCCCGCTCAGTTTTGACCTGTTTCCTTTCACGGGCAGGGCAACATCTGTGTTTGAATCTGGCTTAAAATGGCAAAAGAGGGGGAGGGGATTGAAGGGGAGGGCAGAGTACTGCATAAATATTGCGTTTTCCTGTTGCCCGTCATCTAAGGAGCGTTTTAAGTATCCCTTGTAACTTTGGTTATGGAGGGAAAAGGTTCAATATTTCCTGAGGTGTTTTTATTTCTGGAGTTTTGTAGCCAGGAGCCTGCAGAAGATTAATTTCCTCCAAAATCTGTAAGCAGGACAGATGTCGGTATCTCCCGAGCCACTGCCATTTTGGAAAGAAAGGGAGGGAAGGGCTGGTGGTAGTCCTTTATAGGAGTCTGAGGAGACGAAATAGGGGGCCGGCCATCTGGCTTGAAAGGCAAAGAACATTTTGTCCTTTGGGTGTGGGTGCGTGCGTGCATGCAATAGCGGTTTCAGATGTTGAAGGCAAGAGATAGTTTAGCACAAAAGCAGAAGCCTTTGTGAAATTGTGTTGGCCCATGGCCCTGTCTCCTGTACACCAAGCTGGTAAATGACCAGCTGACTTGGTGTGGAGGGCTGGGTGGCCAGGATGAAACTTCGAGGAATCTGAGGTTCATGGCTGCTCTAATTGGTGCCAGGGCTTTCTTTGAATCCATTTGGGGAACTCGGAGACCGCCATGGCACTTATGTGGAGAGCCCTAATGGCCACTTGCTTTTCTGCCAATAACACGGCTAATGGATAGCCAGGGGGATTTGACTGGTGGAGGTCCCAACCTGGCTTTTTCATAAAGGGTTTGTGAGATGGGGCAGGGGAAAAGGACTTTTTCCAGAATTTGTGCTAATGAGCAGGAACTTCGGGAAAACTATGCAGAAGGCCAGATGATTTAAGAGTGTGTATTTGTTCTCATGGCTCAAATTGTGATAGCACCAGCATTTGCTCCCCCCATGCCCCTGCTTTTTAATTATTACTGATGCCATAGGATGAAAAACAACAACAATGAAGTGAAAATACAAAACAAAACAAAAACAAAAATCACCTCCATCTGTTTTTAAATCAAAGCTTACATCCACAAAGCAATAATAGGAAAAGCACCCCTGAGTCTATGCAGAGTGCTGTTCTTTCTCTATGAAGTGATCACAGCTAGTTCCAACACACTTAGGAAAAAAGTTTTCTATCAACTGCCTTTTAAAGTAATGAAGCACTTGCTTCTATTTCTCCTGTGCTGGAATCCAGCTGATCTCTTCACACACAAAGTGCCACATAAGTCAACTTATTTCTAATTTTGTATACAAGTTCCTTTCAAGAATGAATCACTTGTAGCAACTGTTCTTTCAATCCTCTCTAACTCTAATGAATTCTAAGATGCTGTCCCTACCCTTCTCTCTCCGGGAAAGTAAGTGAGCCAGGGAAACAAGATGGATAACCTCTCCACGAGCCTCTGTACTTTCTCACTTGATCATATAAACCATGGAACATTCTGCAATGACTCCCTGATGTTGACATCATCCTCCAAGGGGATTTAATTACAGACTGAAACTTATTTAAGCCATGCACATTTAGGAATTATACTTCCACCAGTGAGAGCCTAAGGACCTTTTCTCAGTGCCCTGATCAAACTACATTTCCCAGGATTATTGGGTGGTGGTAGCTATCACAGTTTGTCTAATATAAATCCATATTATAGGCATGTCATTAGAGCCGCGACTCTTGAGTGTATCTTCAAAAAGACTTCTGCCATGAATTTTTTAAAAGTAGAAATCTGCAAGGTTCTGTACTTGCAAAGCTAAAACGAGGCTGGAATCTTCTTTTCTTCAATGTCATGCTTGTGGACCAGTTTAAATTCCAAAGATTAAAAATAGGATTATCCTGAATTAATTTATATTAGGAGTAACTAAGACCTTAGGAATGTCAACAATTTGGATTTTCAAACAATCCTAACAGTGGGAGCAGGGGACATGTTTTGTGGCAGGCATTGTCAGAGCACAACTGTTACCCTTGCCCGCATAGTTGATGGCAAAGGAGGTTGAGACTTGCAGCTCAACAATATCTGCATGACCACACATTCCTTACCACTACTAAACTCAACGCTCTCCTGCCTTGAGCAGAGGGTTTGGCTCAATGACCTTATAGGCCCCTTCCAGCTCATTTCTGCCATTTTTCTATGATTCAAACATGCAGTCAAGAAAGATATTTATATTCTGCTCTTTGGCTATTATTCACTAGCTTGCTTTAGACCGGTGAAAAGACAGTGAATGGGCAGGGAAACAGTGGTTAAAGAATAATGTTTCTTCTGAATCTTGGGAAAAGGTATGATTGGGTTTTGGGTGAGAGAAAGGCAGGCAGATTAAAAATCCAGTGGCCTCTTCTTGCTGAGTTTTAAAATATAACCAAGGTGGGTTTTTTTTTCAGTTTCTCAATTTAAATGATTTTTCACAGGTCATGCTTACACCCAGCTTTACATTACCCATGACTAATTTGAATATGAGGCTTACTTTGGTAGGATGGTGCCTGTTCAACTTTACAAAAACAGGGATGGATGATATCTCTACTGGACCACTAAAATATCATAAACATGCACGTTTGGGATTTCTGCAAGACTTTTCATCAAACTAGGTGTTTGGGAAATGGAGCAACACAAAAATCGTCCTGGCTAGATATTGAAATTTTAGGATCTGTAATTAAAGTTCCAGGATGGAAACTGCAGACATAAAGAATCGTTTTCATGTGTTGGTGATTTCAGATTTCACCTCAATGGGTGCATAGTCTTCCCCATCTCTATAGACCAAGGGGTGCCAGTAACTCAGTGAATTCTCCATAGCCCTGTTTGTTTGTTTTTTTCAGAAGTAGATGCACCCAGTTTCATGGCAATCAACATACCAGAAAAGCTGGAAAATACATTTTATAGCATACTAGAAAAAATAGATAAAAATTGTCAATTGATACAAAGTTCAGAGGCTTAACCATCACTCATGAAGGATTGTACTACACTGAGGACTTCCATCTTCCTCTATCCACGAGTTACTATGAATTTGGCTATATATTTATTTAAGAGCATTTCTGTACCACTTTTAGTGTAAAAATCTCAGAGTGGTTCATACATACATTTTGTGCTTTTTGCCACCTCCCCTTCCCCTGAAGCTCTTGCAGTGCCCTGCAAGACCTGAAAACATCCCTGTTTCAATGGTCCAATAAAACTATCACCCATCCTGGTTTTTATACATGGCTCAGAGCACTTGGTTTCTTTTAAAATGCAGTTTTAGTGTTAGCTTTCTCCTCCTCCTGGTGCTGTATTCCAGACTAAAAGGCAATCTGGAAGTTGAGTCACGGCAACTGGGCTTCTTACTTCTTAGGTTGAAATGTTTCGCTGCTCATCCCAGTAGCTTCTTTAGTCAGTCTGAAGAAGCTGCTGGGATGAGTAGCGAAACGTTTCAACCTAAGAAGTAAGAAGCCCAGTTGCCGTGACTCAACTCCCAGATAACCTCACCTGGATGACTGAGCATCTTCACAGACTTAAAGGTAACGTTGGCACAGTTGGTGAAAATGTAATTCTAAAATGGAATAGAGCAGTGGTCATCAACCTTGGATTCCCAGATGTTCCTGGACTGTAACTCCCTGAAATCCTGCCCAGCACATCTAGTGGTGAAGGCTTTGGGGAGTTTTAGTTAGGAACATCTGGGGACACAAGGTTGGGAACCACTGGAGTAGAGAGTAGTTCTAGTACCCCCGCCCCCATCCACCTATGGACTGCTTACTTATCCTCTCACCAGTCTCCCCCCTCTTATTATGTGTTGTATAACATAGCTTGAAAGTGAGGAGAGAAATGTAGATGAGGCCCACCCTGTTCTCAATTGTAGCCCTGTTAGAGGCACTTCCTCTCCACCTCTTCCTCATGCTGATCATTTGTGGTTTATTGGTGTTAACTATTTGCATGTCAATAGCAGGAGGGAATTCTTCAGAGAGATCATTAGCTATGATGTGTCTTTGGATGTTTAGGCATAGGCATGTTCTCATACACTTAAGTCAGCATGGAAAGTGTCCCTCATATAAAAAGAAGCTGTGCATCCCTCTTCTATTGTTTCCTACTTCTGGAGACCTATAGAGGATGTCGAGAAGGGCACCTCATGGAAATGGTTGTGTCCCTTTTTAAGGTCCCAAATGGTATAAACACAGAGAAGGTTGGCAGCCATGAAAGGGTCTAGCTCTTCCAGGTTCCTTTTGAGTCTGGAGGCTACCAGTTGCTGATTTCTAGAATATTAGTTACTGAATTGTTTTCCTGAGGTGTGTTAAATCGTATGCGTTGTATACATGTGTGGTGGGACACCAAGCATACCAGTGTCCAATGGCTTCAGCATTATAAAGGCAAGTGCTGTTCAAGGTGGGGTCAAGGCAAGCATAGTAATTCCCCACCCCCCCACCCCCCTGGCAGAAATTGACAGGTATCTCTGTGAAATCTTGCAACTATTTCTGGATCATCAGGATTGCCGTCTCCCAGGATGGCTGAGGTAGTATTTTAGGAGCTGCAGCAGTCCTCGCCTCTGACAAGGAGTGAGATGAACCAAGAAAGGAAGATAAAATACCATTTTACTATGTGTGGGCCAGAGACTGCTTGTTTCTTTGACAGTAATGAATTTGCTGTGCCATTCAAATCTCTTGTCACATAAGGCTGGAGACAAGCTAAAGAGCTGCTAAATAGTCTTCAACCTCAGGAATGACAATATCTGGCTGTTCAGCCAAGGTGGATTACAGATCCATCTGCATATGCTCATTCAGCTAGCTTTGGGGCCAATTTTGCGTCACTTGAATAAGGACGACTATACTAATTATTTCAGGTCTGAGTATCATGGTTGTTGTGGGTTTTTCAGGATCTGTCATAGTTGTATTTACATTTTAGAGAGAACATTCAGATTCCTTGCATGTGCATGATTCTCATGCCAATGAGAAAAGTTCTAAGATAGTTTTCCCTGTTTGCTCTGTTGTCTGGGTGCAAGGATTTTCTGTCTTCACTTCCACCACCACCACCATCATCGGGGAACACTGAAACTGTGACCATCTGTACCTGGTGTGGTATAATCTAAAGAAAACATTGTTGCTCAATGCTGCCCAGTTATCATTTGGGGAATATAACAAAGAGAATACTGGATCAATCATATATCAACTCACTTGTGGCTCCTAGAACTGCACCTCTTTGTCAGTAACCAGTTAATGCAGTGGCCCCCAACCTTTTGAGCCCCAAAGACTGGCTGGGAGAGGCAGGGCACACACACCCGTGCTCATGCGGGCACACGCGCTCTCACACAGGCGCAAATGGGCTGGGGGGAAGTGCGTGCAGGGGTGGGGGGGAGGTCTCTGCAGCCTGGTCCAGCTCAGGCCACAGACCGGGGGTTGGGGGCCTCTGAGTTAGTGAATTAAGTTCCAGCTGAGATCCCAGACTGATTCCTTACTGAGTCTGGTCTGTTGCATCACCATATGCTCAGATAAGGGACTTCTAACAGGGTCACAGGCAATGCTCTCAGGGGGATCATAGGACAATTGAGTTGGACGGGGCCTATAAGGCCAATGAGTCTGACCCCCTGCTCAACACAGGAATCCAAATCAAAACAGATTTGTCAAATGACTGTCTCACTTTCTTGCAAATGCCTTCAGCATTGGAGCGCTCGTCACCTCCTGAGGTAGCTGGTTCCGTTGTCGTACTGCTCTAACAGTTAAGAAGTTTTTCCTGATATTCAGCCTAAATCTGAATTGCTGTAGCTTGAGCCTACTATTGCATGTCCTGTACTCTGGGATGATCAAGAACAGATCTTGACCCTCCTTTCAAGTGTTTGAAGAGTGCTGTCATATCTCCCGTTAGTCTTCTTTTCTCAGGGCTAAAAATGCCCAGTTCTTTCACTCTTTCCTCATAGGGATTGGTTTCCAGCCCCCTGATCATCCTTGTTGCTCTTCTCTATACTTGTTCCAGTTTGTTGGCATCCTTCTTAAAGTGTGGTGTCTAGAACTGGACACATTGCTCAAGATGATGCCTAACCAGTGAGTAGGATCATACAAGTGTAGCTACTAACTTTTACACATCTTGTCCTCCCCAACCCCCTTTCTTTCTGGTCAGGGTAGTGTTGGAGAAAGGCATCAATACTTTGGCCAAGATGTAGAAAGCTGCTTTTTACTCTTATGGTTATGTGTTGCTTAAGTTCTAACATTAAAAAAGAGGGGCTATATCTCTGTGCTACAGCCCATGGTTTATCATGCAGGACTTTCCTTATGTTTCCCACATCTCCATTTTTAAAAAGGGGATCCAGCAGCAAGTGATGAGAAGGACCCTCCTCTATCTGAGATCCAGTTCCGAATCAGAAGGAGTGATGCCACCAGGCAGGTAGACAAATAGTCAAAGGAAGGTGCTGTGTGTTCCTAAAAGGAGCAACCTGAAGCCTTCTTAGGATAAGAGTTGCAGCTGCTCCATCACCTGTGCACTCCCTCCTAATCAGGCGTGCTCACTCATAAACTTTAAGGGTTGTGCCTACTTTGGAAGCTCTCCATGGAACAGAGAAAGAGAGGGGGGTGCTTAATACATATGGAATCTCGATGCAAGTTAATTTCTCACAAGGTCATAAACAAAACGAAGAAGAGACTTGTGATGGAAGAACAGGGTATCGTAGCCATCCAGCCAGCTCTACTTTTGGCTTCAGAAATGGATGCGCAGGGTAGTAAAGTGAGAATGTGAATGTAAAATAGTGTAATTGTTCTGCAGATATGAAACACAGGAAGGGCTCTGCTTCATTCTGAAACTGAAATCACTGTGTTGATTACTAAGACCGTAAACTGTATGGATCATACCACTATCACTACACATATTTGTTCTCTGGCTTGTACTGCATTAGGAAATCAAAATGATGAAGTCTTGCCCTGTTAATTCTGTGGATACTGGGCTGCCTATAGTTCATCAATTTCAATTGCATGAATACCAGTAGCATAAAACCCCCTCTCTGTGCTCAGAGGCACATGGGTCATCTATGTTCAGCTATCTGGGGTAGGTTTCAGCACCGAAATCTGGTTCTAGAGGTTATTTATTTAAAATATTTGTACCCTCCCTTTCTCCTAAGAAAGGACCCAGGGTCACTGATAACATTAAAACACAGTATTAAGGCTAAAAGCAGTGAATTATTCAAATCTTAAACAAATGAATAGCATATTAAAAATGTTAGGTAAACATTACTAAAAACAGATGTAGAAGCCACAAAATGCAAACTATCTCATTTTAAGGCCTCTCCTAGATAGTCAGTCAAAAAGGAAAAGCCTGCATCAAGAGAAAGATCTTTGCCTGCTTGTGGAAGGACTGCAAAGACAAGGCCAGCCTGGCCTCCTGTGGGAGGGAGTTCCAGAGTCTGGGAGCAGAGACAGAGAAAGCCTTTTCCTGTGTCTCTGCCAAGCACACTTGTGTGGATGGTGGGTCTGAGAGAAAGACCCTCCCTGATGATCTTAACAACCAGGCAGGCTCCTAAAGGGAGATGCCATCTTTGAGATAACTTGGACCCAAGCCATTTAGGGCTCTGTAGGTTAGAACTGGCACTTTGAACTGTGCCTAGAAACAGATCAGCAGCCAGTGGAGCTGCTGTAACTGCACTTTCGTTGAAGTAAAAGCTAACACAACCACAGAATCTGCATCCTCTTCACTGGCCATTCATCCCTAGATGTCATCCTTCTCTTCTACTCCCTGGCATTCCATTGGTTACAGAACTGAGAGATGGACAAACTGCTAAAGGTCTGTGTTTTCACATGGGGGAGAATTGCAAAAATATTTGGAGTGCTGGGATGGAAGCAGCCTTTTCCCAGACTGTGAGATGGGTGATGGGGAAATGCCTCTTTTGCTCGCTCCCATATAGGATTTCTCCCATATTGGACCATCTTCTGCACATGAAGACCTTTGCAGATCTTTGTTACATTTTTTTTATCAAAATGAAGTGAAATGAAATTTCTCCCCACTTGCAGCAGCTAAATTCAATAGATTCCCAGTTTAGTGAGAGCTGCATTTTACCTACCTGCTAAACAGGTGTTAAAAGTGAGAGCCACTCAGAAAAGAGGTAGCAACTTTTTTTTCAACCTCTCCTCCCCACAAGTGAGGACATTTACAAACTTTGGTAAATTCTTCTAAGAAGTATGAAGACAATTTAAGTTTTTAGGTAAAGGTAAATGTTCCCCTTGACATTAAGTCTAGTTGTGTCTGACTCTAGGGGGTGGTGCTCATCTCCGTCTCCAAGCTGTAGAGCCAGCGTTTCTCTGAAGACAATTTCCAGGGTCATGTGGCCAGCGTGACTAGACACGGAACGCCGTTACCTTCCCACCATGGTGGTACCTATTTACTCGCATTTTTACATGCTTTCGAACTGCTAGGTTGGCAGGACGTGGGACAAGTGACGGGGGCTCACTCCATCATGTGGATTTGATCTTACGACTGCTGTTCTTCTGACCTTGCAGCATAGAGGCTTCTGTGGTTTAATCCACAGCACCACCACGTCCCTTAAGTTCTTACCCACCACTAAATTGTGTACACCCTGAAATGATGTTGTTCCAGAGGATTCTGGCTTCTAAAGAAAGGGTGGATTCTAATATTTGTGGCTTTATATTTGCTTGTGCTCTTTTCTGTATGCAGTATGACAGAGAAGGAGATCCTTGAGCCACCTGCGTCACCCACATCTGAAGGGGGGAAATCCACGGAAGGGGTAAGTCCTGTTGCAGGTTATTCTGGGAAGACCCAGGGGCTGAGCCCCTATTTGGACTTCTCATTCCTCCACAATCAGCCATGAGATCTGTCTGAAGGGACCCAGTCCTTCAGAATGTCCTGTGATGCCGGAACCTTCTGTCTGTCACCTTGGTTATGGTCGCTGCAACCAATTAGAGATGGGAAAAGCCCTTTTTTTGGCTGAGACCAAGTAATCCCATCTGAAATGGTCTATCTGCTTGCCGGCTTGCATCCCTGTGACACCTTTTGCATTTGGTATCTTCCTATTCTGTAGAAACTAGAGGACCACGTGGCTTTCCCATGGTTTCTCCCAAAGGGTAGGCCTGCTATTGGGCCCGCTTGTTCCAGCTTTAAATTTCAGCTAATTTCTCTTTTATGGCTGCAATCCAAAGAAAGTATTTTAAAAGCATATTTTCTTGAACAAAAGGCCCTCCTGTTGTAAGACAGAGGTTAGCAAAAAGGTTGCTTCAAAAAATGTTGGCCAACAGCTCCTGTAAGCAACCAGCCGGGATTGTGGGAGTTGTAATCCAGAAGCCTTGGAGGTCACCTGCTTGCTGTCACTACTAGGGCATGGGTTGCCAACCAGCCAGATGATGAGAAAGAGAGAGGGAGAGAGAGAGAGAGAGAGAGAGAGAGAGAGAGTTCCTCGATAGGTTACATCGTTCTTTTCTCCTTCTTTAAACCCTAAGGCAATTGCCATGATCCTTTCCTAATTGTGCCAACCCTTATATCAATATCGAAGAGTTAGAAAAGGGGTTCTTCAAGCCGTCTAGTCCAACCCCTTGCTCAGAGGAGGAGCTCCAAAGACAGAACATCCCCAAGAAATGGATAGCCAGCCTCTTGTTTGAAGGCCTCACAGCTCTAGCTAATTGGATACACTGTCTGGCTCCTCTTACTATTTAATATGTTTCTTCTAATATTGAACAAAAATTGGTCCTTCCATAACTGAAGCCCATTAGAACTAGCCTGGGGCCACATACTTCTACGTACTTCTTATGTAGGCCAGCCCTTAAAGTCTGTCCCCTGAAACTGCTGTGTCTTTGGACTCCACCTGTCTTATCCCAACTCCTCTCAAGTACCAGAATTCATTGGAATCAACTTTTTGCAGCCTTGCATATCCTAAATTAGTTTTAAATATCTTTTCTGCTTCACCACTGGGTTGCCATGGTACATGGAGAGCTGCTGTTCAAGAAATACAAGCCCAACATCCTCATAGGTTGACAAAACTAGTTCTTTGGGTCTGTTTTAGTTTTGGATCCTGGTCTAAAATATGCAAAGCATGCTGGGAATTCAGTTGCAAGGAGGTTGAAAGTTCTGTGATGGAATAGTTTTATTGTTCCAGGGATGCATACGAATGTTTTCAGGCTATGTAAATCGGCTGAAGCTGCAGAATTTTGAAAAGGTTGGTGGAATTTGGAAGAACTGCAGAAACTTGATTAAGCTTGAGCAGTCCTAGAAGATCCACTGGCCATGCCTAGAATGAATCTCATGCACAGGATATATGCTAGCTTTAGATAAAGATACTTTTCAAACAATGTAAGTGTAAGGCACTTATGCACTTTCTATAAATTTTTTTTAAAGAAAAACTTCTGGGAATCTATGGCTCTCTCTAAGAACTGGAGTTTGACTTCAGAAGAACAGGAAAATTTGGGGAATTATAGTCTTTGTAGGATTATCAAATACTCTAAACATTTGCTTTGCAGGACATACAGTAAATGTATTGAACAATAAGTCCTATGCACCCTAAAAACAAATGCTGAGCTAATCTCCCTCCATATGCCTCAGTGGTGATCGGTGAGACTTCAGGGTAATACTTAAGGGTTGTATCCTTTCCATGAGAGAGCACTGAAGACGTCTCGTGTCTTCTGAACACGCAATGTTGTTTACAAGCATAAAAGAGAAGTGGAAGCAAAAACAAGCAGGCAACAAAACCATTGTTCCTGCCTCAGTTTCCCAAAGCACCAGTGGACCTCCTCTGTCTGTTTCCAGTCCAGTTAAACTCAGTTCCAGAGTTCTCCGCCTTTCTCTAAATTCAGCCTGACTCTGCTTTTGCTCTTGCTCTGCTCATTGTCCTTTTTCTTTTTCTTTTTTGCAATTTCCATTTTCTATCTATAAAATGTGGAGGGCAGCCTGCTTTACAGAGCTGTGGCATGATTTACATGCATAAGGGAATGGCTCAGATTGAAAGGACATTGATTCTGAATCCCAAAAATACCTAGAAAATCAGAAGCAGTAGAAGGGGTAAAGCAGGGAAAGATTTTAAACATAGATTCGAAATAGGAATACCTCCGAGAACTCCCCTGCTTCTCTCTGTCTGCCCACAAGACATATCTAGCACTTAAGTATTCCAAGTGCCTTGCAAAACATTTGCTGTAATTCTTACAAAAGCGTCCTAAAACAGACTGTTTTGTGACCAGCAAGCTGCAGATATGGGGTTTGGGATTGAGCCTGCCTAAGCCCTAAATGTAGTGAGTTAATTTCCTAGGAAAGAACTGAAGTGGGTTTTTTGGTTTCATAGATCATTATCTTTTTGTTCTTACATTACTCAAGAGACAATGATGGTGAATGTGGTGTAGTATGGTAGAATTATCTTCCAAAGGGTGTGAACTTCTGTGGAAGGGGAACTCATCCGTCTTCTCTGCAATTGACTGGGGCTCAGGGTATTGTTGGAAGACACAAGTGGGGAAAACTGCATGTTCTAGGGTTGTGGCTTGAACTCCTGCAATTCCTGCAACTGGAACTGTAAGGGATGTAACCTACAATGGGTGCGGGTAATGTATAACCGTCTAAATCAATGGTTCCCAATCTTGGGTCCCCAGATGTTCTTAAACTAAAACTCCCAGAAGCCTTTGCCACTAGCTCTGCTGGCCAGAATTGCAGGAAACTGTAGCCCAAGAACATCTGGGCATCCAAGGTTGGGAACCACTGTTCTAGATGTTGTTGGAATTCAGCTCATATTGCTGCTCACCATTAGCTACAGTGGCTGGGCCTGTTTGGAGGTGCAGCTATTAGTGATGCTAATTGGGGGTGTTTAGCGTTGTAACCCAACAAAACCTGGGCTAACGGAAGGGGGAAAGCCTAGTGGCAGAAAAAGTTTGTTGTATCCTCTTCTATTTTGGGTTTTGTTTCATTTTTAAATTTTTTTTATTTTTTTATTTTTTGCAGGAGAGGGAATAAAATCTGTTCTTTGTGTGGGGGCAGGTGGGCGAGTAATGCATAAATGACCATTCGGGTTTAATAGGAAATTGGTGAACGCGCTAAGAGGTTTTTGCTTGTTTGTTTGTTTTTTGCTGTTCGATGCCTAGGTGTTCTGATATACTGGGAAAAATGCTGAACAGGTAGACAGGCATTGTCCTTTGGTTACATGCTTAGTTTTCTACACTAGCTTCTGCAAGTACTCAAATGCTGAAAGCATTTCCATATTTCATTCAACTGCTGGCTTTCAGGATCCATAGAGAGCCTCTAGGTACACAGATAGATAGATGTATGTGGAAGAACACAAGATGAGGTGGAGATCAATAGTCTCTCCCCTCTGAGAGCAACTGCATTAGCAACCGTTGCCTTAAGAGAGGACTTGTGTTCCACCCTCCCGGCTGACTCCCTGCTTTCCAGCTACCGGTGCTCTCCTCAAGAGTCCTCTGTAAGAATGCTTTGGCTGCCCTCCTGGCAGCAGGAGCAACATCTGGGTCAGTGACGTGTCCTCTGCTCCCCCTGCACACACACCCCTCCACACGCCTCGCACAGGCTTGCACTCTGCAGGGTCAAGATGAACTTCATCACACTTCTGGAATGGAGTTACTGGCAGCTTAAGGACTGACATTCAGAGATAGTGGCTTGATGAAGGGTGCATATAAACATGCATACCGATCAGAGCTCACAGCAGTTCCTTTCCTTTCTCCCCTTGCATAGGGCAGTGGATAGAATGATGATTGATGGGATCATGATTCCAAAAGCCTGTCTTTGCCCCACCCTGCATTCTTCAGGCAGGCAAGCAGGCTGCCTTTCATCTGTGCTATGAAAAGGAAGGCTGCCTGCCTTTATTGTTGTCATTATTATTTTCACAATCATTTACAATGCATTTCCCCCCAATTAAATGTATATTTGCCATCATTCCATTTTTATATAAAAGTAGCCTCAGTAGAAGAAGCAGAGATTTGAACTAGCAACTGAAGCACTCACCTAACCAATTAGCACCCAACCCAGTTGAGTTTTGCAGTTAACACGTGAATCTTTGAAAGGTGGGAGGAATCAAAATAAAGGCTCAATTTGATTCCGCAGAAGCTTGTTTTATTTGATTTTCTTTTGATTCCTTGATAGTAGTATATATTTCCTGTATTAAAATCTCTATTTAGTTTTTAAAAAATGAATACATATAATACAATGTCACCAATTTAAAGAGAATTTTCAAATAATGAATAAACAAACATCCTTGCAAAAGGAATTAAATGTGTTTGCCCAGCTTCACGGATGGAATTAAGTATGACTGCACACACCATTGTGGCCCAAAACAAAAAACCATCGGTGATATGCTGTCTACTTAAAGTTAAGAATGTAAGCTTTAATCAGTAGATTAAAATCAGTAGACCAGTCATCTGTAGATTAAAGGTTGCATTTTGGTGAAATGAAAGTGTACTGCAAATTGAATAGGAGGGGCGGTAGATGAAGAGCAGATTCATTTGTGAGGCTTTGTTGATGCTGGGGTGCTGTGACAAGAAGTGGAAATGAAATATTTGATCAATTTTCCATCTAACAGTGGGGGCTTTATTAAACTGTAAGTCAGTGCAGCCTTCAGAATTTCCAAAAAACAGGAGGGAACAGATACACCTTGACGTTTAGACCATAGACACATACACTTTAAATTTGATTGATCAAAAAATTCAGCAGAGACACCTGCTAAGAAATATTCTTAGTCTGAAAGCCCTCATTCCAAATCTTCTGAAATCTAGAATATGAGCACAATAATATTGACTTGCCGAGAACATTTGTTAAATGGCTTGCTGAAACTCTGCAAATTAAGCGCATAAATGTTTTGCGGTGGTGCTGTCCTTATCATTGTCCCATTAATTGTTCGAAAATCAGGTAGTTAACCAATATACAGACGCTGGACTTGGTGATCCATAAGGCCCCTTCCAGCTCTGCAGTTCTAAGATGATGACGACGATGATTACAGAATCTCTTTTCAGATAAATTTAAATATATGTACTTAGATATATAGATAATATCTCTTTACTTGCTTAAAATATTGTTCATGGAGATAACCCCAGAATACAAGCCATACTTGTGCTGTGGTTCTCCATCTGCAACTTTCATCATTTTGGGCCAGCAGCTTTCTTTCCTTTCTTTACTTTTTTTGTGCAAGCAGTGAGTTCTTTGCCATGCTCTCCCTGCAGCTGCTTTGATCGTGCACACCGAACATTTGTTTGCATGGATCTGGATGGAGTCTGAGGTTCTTCAACCCTGTTTTTGACCCAGACCCTCCAAGTATCCTAGGTCTTGTTCCTCCGCCCGTTACTGTGCCTCCTTTTTTTTGAGCTAGTCATGAACAACTTGGGTGTGTGCATGCCAATCACACTGGCCGCCAGGGTTCCCTCTCGAAGGCATCAATCAAGTGCTGATTGTTCATCCACCCTGCATCCCACCCTGCCCCACCTTCCTCCCCTCCCACCCCACCCCACCCCACTCCGGGTCCTCAGCTGCAGAAGCTAAAGCAGCTTTTCCAACGCAAGCCCAAGGAAGAGCCTGCCCCGGAGGAACCCCAGGCCAATGGAGAGCTGGTCAGCCCCACCGGAGGGCCTATCTACTATATCTACGAGGAAGAGGAAGAGGAAGAGGAGGAAGAGCCTGAGCCACCACCGCCGGAAAAACCCGTGAATGACAAACCTCACAAGCTGAAGGATCACTACTTCAAAAAACCCAAGTTCTGTGATGTCTGTGCCCGCATGATTGTCCGTGAGTATTCTCGGAGGGGAGCAAAACAGCAGGAGGCAGTGGATGGTTGGAGGGGCGAGGGGCTAGCATCCCATTGAACTTCTGCTGACCAGAAAGTTCAGGCCATCTCATAACATAGGATCATGCCCCCCAGTGCAAATGTTGTTGATGTTCAAGAAAGGGACAGGTTTCCTTCATGGAAGCTTCCACAATGGGCATGATCCCACATTACTCTGCTGGTAGAACCTTTTGGATAAAAAAAAAGGGGTAGCTTTTCTCTTCCTCATTGTGCTGGCAGAACTTCCACTGATGAATGAGATATATGCTCACTAGCTGTTCAAGGTACACCAGTGGTGTGCATGAGAAAGTAGCACCCTGAGGTGATCAGGGAGGTGGGTAGTTAGGGTAGAATGAAATGAAGCCCTATGACGGAAGTGGGATGTGTCCATAGGACAGTGTAGCCTGTAACCTCTAGGCTAAATGGTGTTCTCTTTCTCTCCCTCGACCACACACACATTTACCTCTTGTGTGGAAGAAGCTTCATGTTGTGTCCTTTCTCTCTCAGGACACTAACAAAGCAAATAAATTCAAATTGCTGACCTTTCACAACCCCCAACATCTGATGCTGAAGTGGGCTGCTTTGTTCTACCTTGCTATGGAAACCCTTACGGCCCAGGGTGGAACCAGAGCAGATTTTATATACTATAACAGATATATCTATCTGTTTGGTACAGAAGGGCCCAGTAGATAGGCGAACAGGGTTGGGGCAAGTCTAAGTTAAAGAAAATCTGACTGATCCAAGCTGCAGTTTTGACAGCTCACTGTACAGAGAGCTACATACAGAACGGAAAATACATAATATATATTTTTTCACCCTGGTTGCTTCTGAGGAGATTGAGATTTGAAGTGTTAAAGGGATACACATTCAGGGAGTGCCCAGTTGTGAGAAAAATACCTGTGCAGGAAAGCAGGGTATGTGAAGAATTATTCCCTTTTCTGTTTTAGAGGATGGCATTTCCCAAGTCTTGCTGTCCACATGGCTGAGACTTGTCCATGTTCAGAACCTATGAATCTGCTAGCGCAGTCCACTGTCACTGGGTCGGCAGTGCAGAGGGTTATTTGAGGGGTTTGTGGCACCTCAGCCTCTGTAGCTGCCCGTTGACTGCCTCTCTCTCTCTCTCTCTCTCTTTCTCATGTAGTCAACAACAAATATGGCCTGAAATGTAAGCACTGCAAAACGCACATCCATCATCACTGCCAAAGCTATGTGGAATTTCAGCGCTGCTTTGGCAAGATCGTAAGTGGCCCCGCTTGGCTCCAAATGCAAAGCTTTTTCTCTTTGCTGCTTGCACAGCTGAACAGATCACATGCAAGGCTGTGGATTCCAATGCAGGTTCAGAGCATGGCAGACCATCAAGAGTTTAAAGTTTTCCTAGTCACAGAGCAGGGACAAGGCTTCTCCCCAGAGGCATGCCGATTTGAGAACATAGAGACTTCTCCTCTTATTTCAATTGTAGGGACGTAAGTTCAAAAGCATGTAAAAATGCGAGTAGATAAATAGGTACCACCTCGGTGGGAAGGCAACGGCGTTCCGTGTCCAGTCACGCTGGCTACATGACCACAGAAACTGTCTATGGACAAACGCTGGATCTATGGCTTGGAAACGGGGATGAGCACTGCGCCCTAGAGTCGGACATGACTGGACTATATGTCAAGGGGAACCTTTACCTTTACCTAACAGAAGCTGCATAATCAAGATTCAATGCACTACTGAAACTTAGTGTACCCCTACTACTTACAAGGAGAAAAAATCCTAATAAAAAAGGAAGAATTTCGTATGTTGATGTTACCCACTGCATCATGGAGTTTAACAACTTTTTAAAAAATAAAATTACTGGGATAGAGATTATGGGTAATTGTTGAGGACAGGACTTGATTTTGTTCTGGAGCTTCAATACTCTAATCAGAGCCAGGTTTTATAAGTAGGATTTTTTTTAAAAAAAGACACAACTGGATCATCTGCTGTTAGTAATTAGGAGAACTGGAAAGACAGATATGTGTTTATATGTTACGTTAATTACCAGAAATTTGGGATGGTCACCACCATTTCACCTGCAAATGCTGACCATGTCTCTACATCTGCTAACATTCCCAGCTGTACACCTCATAAAAAGAAAATAAACATTGCCCACTAACCTGTTCAATCTTTATGCACCTAAAACTCCAACTGTAGAAGCTGCTGTGGCATCCAACAAGGTGGTGGTCGTGTGCCTGGTCTCATGCCACCAGCACCTTATCAGACCACACACAGGCCTCTGCAGTTGGAGCTCTGAGTGCATAAACGTTGAACAGGATACTCCCCAGATTGCTCAGTTGCCTTTCTCTGCTTCGTGTCTCCAACAGGATTCTAGTTCTGTCAGGAGTTTTCAAGATGCAGTCCGGGGGGTGGGTGGGTGGGTGTATGAATGCCCCAAGCCTGTTTTTATAGTTCCTCTTCTGCTACCCCACCTTAACATAAGAAGAGCCCTGCTGGATCAGGCCAAGGGCCCAGCTAGTCCAGCTTCCTGTATCCCACAGTGGCCCCACCAGATGCCTCTGGGAGCATACGAGACAACCAGATACCTGTCTCCTGATACGCCTCCCCTGCATCTGGCATTTTTTATGTTAAAATGTGGCAGAGTGGAAAAGCTGTGAAAGCACAAAGCAGCTTAAAACCATGGCAAACACACACACACACACACACACACACACACACACACACAATATCTATGTTTCTTGTTGTAGAGTGAAACTGGAGATGGCTTGAGAGTTTTTCCCCACTCCCAGAGGTTCCCTGCTTCTGCTCTAAAGAAACCATTTTGCTCTCTTTTCATGGTGCATGTTGAAAAATGGTCCAGAATGTAGTCCCTTCTTTCAGCAACTGATTGAAATATTTACTTACTTACTTACTTACTTACTTACTTACTTACTTACTTACTTACTTACTTACTTACCTACCTACCTACCTACCTACCAACCAACCAACCAACCAACCAACCAACCAACCAACCAACCAACCAACCAACCAACCAACCAACCAACCAACCAACCAACCAACCAACCAACCAACCAACCAACCAACCAACCAACCAACCAACCAACCAACCAACCAACCAACCAACCAACCAACCAACCAACCAACCAACCAACCAACCAACCAACCAACCAACCAACCAACCAACCAACCAACCAACCAACCAACCAACCAACCAACCAACCAACCAACCAACCAACCAACCAACCAACCAACCAACCAACCAACCAACCAACCAACCAACCAACCAACCAACCAACCAACCAACCAACCAACCAACCAACCAACCAACCAACCAACCAACCAACCAACCAACCAACCAACCAACCAACCAACCAACCAACCAACCAACCAACCAACCAACCAACCAACCAACCAACCAACCAACCAACCAACCAACCAACCAACCAACCAACCAACCAACCAACCAACCAACCAACCAACCAACCAACCAACCAACCAACCAACCAACCAACCAACCAACCAACCAACCAACCAACCAACCAACCAACCAACCAACCAACCAACCAACCAACCAACCAACCAACCAACCAACCAACCAACCAACCAACCAACCAACCAACCAACCAACCAACCAACCAACCAACCAACCAACCAACCAACCAACCAACCAACCAACCAACCAACCAACCAACCAACCAACCAACCAACCAACCAACCAACCAACCAACCAACCAACCAACCAACCAACCAACCAACCAACCAACCAACCAACCAACCAACCAACCAACCAACCAACCAACCAACCAACCAACCAACCAACCAACCAACCAACCAACCAACCAACCAACCAACCAACCAACCAACCAACCAACCAACCAACCAACCTCACTTTTCTGTTAAATTAAGGCTTGTAGGGTGATGTTTCTACTGTTTTTTGCCCACCAGGGGTGGCCCAGTACACTCCTGAAGACCCTTGCTCCCCCCAGTTGCCCCCATCTGCCCCAAATGGAAGAATTTAAGTATAGGAGTCTGAGTCAGAGCAGAGGAGTCACTTTTCTGTTAAAGTAAGGCTTGTAGGGTGATGTTTCTACTGTTTTTGCCCACCAGGGGTGGCCCAGTACACTCCCTGAAGACCCTTGCTCCCCCCAGTTGCCCTCACCTGCCCCAAATGGAAGAATTTAAGTATAGGAGTCTGAGTCAGAGCAGAGGAGTAGGCTTTAGAGATACTCTTCCAGGATGACATATGGTTCTGGTGGTATGCATGAATCAGAAAAATGGTGATTCATTTCGATTCATGATTCATCAAGGTTGACGAATCACAAAGTACGAATTTACAATTTTTTCCTGATGACTGGATGAATCAATTTGTGAATTCATTTTTTACTTTAATATCCCATAAAATGCCCTTCCAAGCACCTAAAGACACCAAAATAACAGAGAAACGTCCCTTGACTCTCCTCTACAAGCCCTGCAATTTTGGTGAAGAGTGCATTTCCGATGTCTGAGTTATACACCCACGAAGAGATTCCTCCCAGGAAAGCTCCCCCTCCCAGGCGACATCCCTTGACTCTCCTCTACAAGTCCTGCAATTTTGGGGAAGAGTGCATTTCCAACGTCTGAGTTATACACCCACTAAGAGGTTCCTCCCAGGAAAGCTCCCCCTCCCAGGCACCTAGAGATGCCATGATCAGAGAGAGGGTTCTACTGATAGTTCTCTACAGTCTCTACAAGTTTTGTGAATATTGTGTTTCAGACATCCAAGTTATACACCCACAAAGTGGGTCCCCCCAGGAAAATGCCTTTATCATCAGGCTTGTGGGGTTGTAGAGGACAGTCAGAGGACGTTTACTGCAATTTTGGTGTCTCTAGGTAGCGGGGGGGGGGCTAGGGGTTTAGCCCATTGAATAAATGAATCAAAATCACTAAAAATGTGTTGATTTGTATTTGTCAGGAGCATTAATTTATATGAATATGAATTGACAAATTAGCAATTTTTGAATGAATTTAGTGATTCATTTTTCAATTGGGGTCCACCTCTAGTGTTCCTCCACTTTGGAGAAGGGGTGTGGTTTACGGCTTCCTTGTTCCCCTGTATATCTAATGCTCATTTTTGCTTTGCAGCCCCCAGGTTTCCGTCGTGCTTACAGCTCTCCATTGTACAGTGCTCAACAACTTGCTGGTGGTGGTAAGTAGCCCACCACAGACTTCCCCCATTTCTGCGCTTCCATTGTCTCCTCAAACCGCCATCCTTTATTTCTGTTGTTGCTGCTTCAACCCACAGCTAACCGAGGTGACCCTGTGTTTGAGACGTTGCGGACAGGTGTCGTCATGGCAAATAAAGAGCGCAAGAAAGGGCAGGATGACAAGAAGAATGTAAGGGAATGTGTGTGTGTGTATGTGTGTGTAGAAACATCAACACATGAAAAGGCAGCACACCTGGGTTCTTAGAACCATAGCATCCTGATAGACGAGGCAAGACCATCCAGGGTGAAGAAGTGGGATGAGGGCCAAACAAATTCTAAAAGGAGGGTAGAGAATCTGTAGCTTGCCAGATGTTGGTGCACTTCAGTTCTGCTCATCATTGACCATAGGCCATGTCAGCTGGGGCTGATGGCAGTGGTGTTCTAGCCACAACTGGAGGGCTCTTAGAAGTACTTGATGTTGCCACTGATTTCTCTCTCCCCACACGCCCTCTAGTTCCAAGATGCAAGACACATAATAATGGGCTCAAGCTACAGGAAGCCAGATTTAGGCGGACTATCAGGAAGAACCTACTGTCAGAGCAGTACGGCAATAGAACCAATTACCTCAGGAATTGGTGGGTGCTCCAACGCTGGAGGCATTAAAGAGGAAATTGGACAATCATCTCTGAGAAGGCTACCAAGAGCATTTCCTCTTTCTATGCATGTTGCTTTTCTCTGGTCAGAATGATCTGTCAGATTAAAGGCATGGCACATGCTGAAAACAGTGACTGTGCTGTTTCACTCCCCCTCTCTCTCTCCTCCAGTTGTAGAACCAGAGGCAGGTTGCTTGCCTCCTTCCCATGATGAATTAAATCCAGAATGTGTCGGACACAAATACAGTGATTGATTTGACTATTGTGCAATGTCTTTCTGAGAACACAGTTGCAGGTCCCTGTCTCATGTGCAGTGAATGCGCAGCTCCTGCTCAACATCCCCTAGTCCTGCAGGTCCTCCATTTGCGAATTGTCTCTGGTAGCTTGTCTGCCAGAACCAATCAGAATCCAGCACAATGGTGGTGGCTGTTGCCGAGCAAAGAATGCACGGTGTTCTCACATTGCATTGTAAGACAGATGATCCACTTGTAGATGGGTGGATTGCATGTAACCTTCCTCCACCTATTTATGCAGAGTCACCAGTACTCTTTTCTCTCTCCCATGACACTGTGGGGGGAAAAAGTGCTGAAACAGCACTGTTTACCTTTACACGTGGTTTTTCCCACTTGAAACTCGAAAGTGGATATTTTCTTGCCTTGTTTCTTGGCAGAAAAGAGTTTCTGGAAACTTTCTAATACTTAGGAAACAGCAGCAGAGGATGGGAATGCAGTCCCAAGTGGATTGGGTGGGGCCATGTTGGCCCCTGACCCCCAGAAATTTTCCATCCCTTATGTAAGGGAAGGGAGGAATTAAACACGTGACTATAGTTGTGTCCAGCAGCCTTGCATTTAATGTAATGTATTATTCTGACCTCAAGACAGAGAATGTACAGTAAGTAAATCTCCCTGCTGTCTTCTAGTAGAAGTGAGGATGCTTCATCCCTTCATCTCAGCTTTGTAAGACTAGAGACAAAATTTGAACCAACAACCTTTCTTTTCTGGAGAGAAGGGAAATCATCCTCTCCCCCCCCCCCCTTTTGTGAACCAACAACCTTTCGTTTCTGGAGAGAAGGGAAATCATCCTCTTCTCCCCCCCCCTTTGTGGGAATAAAGTCCAGGGTATATATCCCAAGGTGCATTCATTTATGCCATCAACATTTCTGCTCTATGGGTCTCCGGTTTTCATGCAGAACACCTTCTAAGCATTTACCAGGATCTCTTGGGGCCCTGCCTAGGCTCACCTTACCTAGGTTCTCCTGTAATGCTTGACCTATGTTTTCATTTTGTGGCTTAGCAATTTTCAGAGTCCTTTCAGCATCTTATCGTTCCATTTATGAGGTAGAGAATCAGGATTGGGCAGCTGTCAACAGTGGGAGGCCGACTTTGGTCTCCTTAAATTTACCAAAGGTCACTCCTGAATTTCAGTGGCAAAAGCTGCAATTTTACATTAAAACAGAGGCTGGAATCCTGTTGCTTAGATATATAAATTAGTATAGTAAATTGTGTAGTAAGTTGCTAATTTTGATGAGTCAACTCTTCTGTTGCATTCCACAGATTCAAATGGACCTGATGTGTTTGCGACTTTGGTGTAGTAAACCACAACTAAAATAGGCCTGTTTTGAGTCCATGGAACTTATAAAGGAGTTCACTTGCCAAATCCCCAGTGATTTCATGGGCCTTCTGTAGGACAGCTTACTACGCTAAAGCAACATTGTATGCAGAGAGCACATACGTACCTTGTTTTTAAGCTGAAACAGCCTTCCAGACTAATTGGCTTACCCCTCAGATATTTAATGTAATTGTGGATCCTACCCAAATAAACCATTTAATTTGGCAGCAGCTGCAAAAATAGGGAAGGGATCAGCATGCAGTTGTGTGTGCCCATCCCTACAATAAAGAAAGCACAATAACCTTCTGACCTATTTCTCTTTCTAGCAATTAGCTGCCATGATGGAAGAGGAGACAGAGGTCCCTAAGCAAGAAGGTGGCAAAGCTGAGGAAGGTAAGTGGTAGGCCGTGGGGAAGCTATTCCCCAGAAGGCCCAGCAGTCTAAACATTTGCAGACTAAGTACCGCATGCATAAAAATCTGTGACAGAAAAGACAAGCGAATGATTGTAAGGAGGAGGCGGTTGACTATCTAGTTTAGCTTGCTTTGTGGGGTAGAGATGGGCACAAGCCGCTGGTTTCCCAGTTCGTGTCGGTTCATTTTTCAACCAAACGAATATTCGGTGCTTCCCAGCCTCACTTTCTCCAGCAGGGGCCCACTCAGAGGCAGCACTTGGTGGAGGGGAGGCGGGGCACGGAAGCCGGGACGCTGCCTCTGCATGGGTGCCTGCTGGAGGAAGCGGGGCTAGGAAGTGCCGAACACCTGTTCGGCCAAAAAAACACACCAAAAACCAAACCCAATTGGCACAAGACACTGAATCAGCCGTTCCTGCCCATCTCTATCTCCAAAACAAAGCCAGCCTGGATGGTGAACCATTTCCTCCTGAATTACGGAAGCGGTGGTTTGTGCCCTTCTCTATTTGGGGGCTATCGTGAGCTGAGAATTGATAAATAAATGTTTTGAATAAACAGATACTTAATTCTGTTGGGCAGAGTGAAGTAGTTGCCCCAGGTAGCAGAAGATGTGTCGTATAAGGAGGGCGATGGTGCCTTAGGAGTTCTGTCCGCTGGAGTTCAGCAGAGCAGGGTGATGGAGGCAGCCTGTCTTACAATCCCTCAGCTTTGCTTGCCTTCCTCAGGTGAGGTGAAAGATCCATTAGCACAGTGGTCCCCAACCTTGGGCCTCCAGATGTTCTTGGACTACAACTCCCAGAAGCCTTCACCACCATCTCTGCTGGCCAGGATTTTTGGGAATTGAAGTCCAAGAACATCTGGAGGCCCAAGATTGGGGACCACTGCATTAGCAGTTACAGGCCAGTCAACTTCCACAGGTGAAATGAATAATCTTGCCCTTTATCTCTAGTAACAAAACGCCACCCCGAAATCAAAAACCTTCACATCATCTGTTGTATCAGAAGAAGGATGTACAAAGGTGGTAGAGGTTATGAACAATTCTGTTAAAAGTGTGAACTGTTTCCCAGCTGACTGTGAGTTTTAAAAACTGTTGTGCACACAAGCAGAGATGTTGGCAGTGGATACCGTAAGAGCATGTCCCACCACTCAATAGGAGAAGTGCTTAATAGAATATGGTGCTGAGTGATCAGTTCAGGAGCCTACACATCTCATCTCTGATTAAAACAAATCGTCCAGCGCAAGTATCTATCCCTTACGATTGCAAAAGTAACATTGACAGTGTTTGTACAACAAGGGGTAGAATGTTTCTAAAGCAAGAAGAGGCCACCATAGGATTTCTGTAGTTGTGGACTTCAAGACTGCGGTGTGCATTTTCTCTATTTTATGTGACTTCCTGCAGAATACAGGATGCCATCTGTTCAGCATAATTGTCCAAACTGAAGTATCCAAGGGGTTTTGGTGCAGGATTTGATTTTCTTCTGGTTGATTTCTTTTTAAGAAACGTACGGCCCACACATTTCTTTGCAATCTCTTCTCTGACGTGTTACAGTGTTGGCAAATTCATGAAAACAGCATCTTTGGCACATATTTAACTGCATGGCAGTGATTCATAGTGAATCACTAATGGACATAGTGCCTACACCTCCTGGCAACACTGGACTAATGCGTAGATCTGTGTGTCTTCTATATCCCTTAGAGCAGGGGTTCCCCAGGTATACAGAGTGAATTGAGTCAGGACAGGGCCCTGAATGCAGGACGCCAGGTATACAGAGTGAATTGAACAGGATGTGAGTCAGGACAGGGCCCTGAATGCAGGACTGCCCCTCTGATAAAGGGGTGGGGGAGAGGCAAAAGTGTGGTTGAGCAGGGTGTAGTCTCAGCCTGGAGTGGGAGAGCACTTGCCTCTTGTCGGCCGGCTGCGGCTGCACAGAGCAGAGCTGGAATGCCCTGAGCAGAGAGGCTTGAAAATTTGGGCAAAATCTGGGTAACATTTGAGAAGTTGTGTTGGTGGGATGGGAACAGGACTAAGGTTTTCCACACTCAGATTTCCAGAAGCCTGCAGAGCACTTTTCTTCCTATCCTACAACTGACAGAATAAACCATTCAATATAGATAAGCATTTTGGAATAACAGGGAAAAGTAAAATTTAGCTCCCCCCCTTATTTTTGACCACATACCAAACGTACTCTCTCTCTCTCTCTCATTTATTTCATTCTTTAGCACAGAGATTAAGCTGTATCACCTCAGGATTACTGTTATGGGTCACAGGGAGCACATTTCCCATGGCCTCTGCCTCCTGGCATTGCAGAACAATATATATTACATTCTTAATGGTAGTCTAATTTCCCACATATGTATTTGTCAGATATGACCTGTCAAAGCACTAATAATGTGGCATTTAATACCATGATGAATTGAGTTGCTGTAATGAAATACATTAATCTTTTAAAATGCCACAATAGGCTCGCCCAGGTATCTCCTAGGAGGGAAAATTCCCACAAAGATGGTATCCCCTTTAAAAAAAGCAAAATTTAAAGGCTCTTGCAAAGTTAAAATCCACTTTTTTGTTCATTTGAGCAGAATAATACTTTGGAATGTGATTTTTTTTTGAGTCCCCGTTGAACAAATGTGAAAGCAATCATTGTTACATCAATGCAAATCTGTCTTGGTTTATATTTTCTTGCCTGTAACCTCACAGGTGAAAAATGTAAGTTTGTAATCTTGTACGTTTTTTCTTTTTAATGAAAGCAATATAAAGTGGAGCTCTTTAAATGTAATCCAGTTTACTTCTCTGCAAATATAAAAAAGACTTTTGCCTTCTCTGGGCAGTGCCCTGGCAAGGAAACACTTTCTGAGACTATTTTGTAGGAACGTGGCTCTAGTTGAGGATTGTCCTGTTGCTCAATGACCATTGATCAGTCCATATCTCCCCCTTCCCCGGCTCCCTTGTGAGTGTAATATGGCCAGTTGTTGCTATTTATCCCTGTGACAAACCCAGACCTACTGGGATATGTCACACAGTTACACTAAGCTGCCACCAACCATTCCTGCACTGGTTTTTAGCTAGAAGAAAATGGAAGAAATATGAAAGTGTAGAAGCAGATGACTGGAATCCGCACCACAGAGAACTAAGCTTCTACGTTGCTATGAAGCACAACATAAGAACAAATATGTTGAAAGCATGAAAACCAACTCAGAAGGTTAAATGGCATGTTTCCAACCATGCATCTGCAAAATTAGTGGTCAACTTTGGTGATCCTCTGCTCACCAGCATGGCTGTTGGCCCCGTTGTCCGGGAGAGGATGGAAGTTACAGAAATACATTGGTTCTTTATTTTTTTTAAGCACAGATAAAGGGGAATTTATATATATTTCTTCCCCTTGCAGGGTTTTCCCTCCAGGCATGAAGTTCTTTCAGAGCTAGTACCTGGGAAAACTGGCATGCAAATGAAGTCACGCTGATCTCCCATAACCCGTTACAAGAAGAAAAAAAAAGCAAGCTGGTTTGCCAGTTGAGGCATGCTCATGGTGTCGTGGATAGAATGTTGGAGTAGGATTCTGGAGAGCTGGGTTCAAATTCCCACTTCAGGCAGGGAAACCACTCCTTAAATATCGCACTTGTTTTGCAAGCCCTGCTCAGACTGCTAGAAGTCTGATGCAACTTTATGGCATCACACACACACACACACACACACACACACACACACACACACACACACACACACACACACACGCACACACGCACGCACGCACACACACGCACACGCACACACGCACACGCACAGGCACAGGCACAGGCACAGAGAGAGAGAGAGAGAGAGAGATTGAGAGTAACAATGAGACAGCCTTTTATCTTTTAAGGGAGCTCTCTATTTAATCACACGTTAATTTTATCATCTAGTTTTCTCTTAGGAAAAGCAGTGTGGTTTGGGAGATTTTATTTTCGGTGTGCTGGGGCAGGTTCAGGGAAAAGAGGTTTGCCTAAACTCTGCTTTTCTCTTGCCTCCTCTACTTACCCTCTTCCAAATGCTGCCTCCCTGCTCCTTTCCTTTCCTTTTGCATTCAGGAAATCCAGAAGGACAGAAAGCTGAGAAGAATGCTCCTGATGACAAGGTGACTGCCTGCCTGCTCCCACCAGTTTTGGGAGGGTGTGGAGTGGGTGGGATGAGGGAGGAGAAGGCATAGGGTGCCATTCCTGCAAAGAGGCACCTGAGCAACATTTACTTTCTGTCACTCTCCTTTCTTCCTCTTTCCCAAGTCTTCTCTCTCCTGATATTAAAAACAGGTTCCACACCTAAAAATGTTAGTGAATCCTGGCTCAGATGGCTCTTGGGCAGATAGTTGCTATATGAGAGATATTAGAATCCCACCACCTACTAACCGGAACCTTGCAGAACACCCATTTTGGAAGTATTCCCTTTTTTAATTATCCCCTAACCTTGAGTACATACTATTTCTAAGCACTGCAAAAGCAAAAACTTGGAATCAAAGACTTAAGAGTCCACAAATTTGTTTTGTACTAAATGGAGCTCACAAACAAATTAGCATCCAGTTATCCCCTTTTCATTGCAGAAGTGTAATTTGGAAAAGGGCACAAGGGTGTTTTGTTGTTCCCTTTGCTAAATAAATGGGGATCAGCCATTCTGATGGCTTTGACTGAGATTTATTAGGAAGGAATAGATTCAGATCTATCTTTTGCCCTAACCTTCCAAGTACTATGGAATCCTGTACTACCTGTAACAGCAGTGACTATTTTACTCATAACATGGCACTTCTTTTGTGACAACTAAGGCATATGAGTGTTTCATATGGGCTGAAATCCTGTTGCTTAATGTAGTGAGTTGCTCTAGAGTAGGCCTATTAAATCAGTGATAATTTGATGAGTCAACTCCTCTGTACATTTTATTGGTCTACTCTTGTTGCAACTACGGTAGGCACCTTCAAATCAGTGGAACCTATGAAGGTGTTAACTCACCAAATCCTCACCGATCCAGTGGTCTTACTCTAGTACAATTTCCTACACTAAGGAACAAGAGTTCAGCCATTAATTTTTAAAATCATTGATAATGTTTCAGGATTTGTGATATAAATGACTAACATTTACCGGTACTTGCAATTTCAAAATGACTAGTTTATAAGGAATCACTGTGGAAGTTTTTTGGCCACTTTCTTTCCTTTTTCTCTCTCTTTTTCACTCTTTTTAAGGCTTTTTCCTCCCTTTGTTCCTCCCTCCCTCCCCCCCCTCTCTCTCTTTTAATGTTTTTTCCTTTCTTTGTTGAGGCTGTGGTCGGTCGCTGGCTATTTCCTCTGCTTAATCATAACATTGTCCTTTCTTCTCTTGAACAGAATAAGAAGCAGCAAGCTGGGTTCCAGCAGTCTCACTATTTTATCGCACTGTATCGCTTCAAAGCCTTAGAGAAGGATGACCTAGATTTCCAGTGAGTGGTAGTCACAATAAAGTTGTGGGTCACAATATGTTGGGGGGAAATGGTTTGGACCTCATTGGTTTACAAAGAGGCACCCACCTGTCTCCCAATGCGGAACGCTTTGGGTTGTGTTCCTGATGTCAACAGAAGTCAAACCCGGTCCAATAAGCACAGCTTTCTTTTGTGAAGCAACTTCCTCCAACAGGGTCCCAATCAACTTTTAAAACCATTAATTTCCTACCACTAGCCAGTATGACCCTCTGAATTATGAGGAATCTTGCTTTCTGTCTTCCTCAAGTATTACAAATGAGGAGGGGGATCCCAGATTCCAGAATTACTTGGGGCAAGTAGACACGGATCAACAACACGGTTTTGATATTAGACCTGTTTCTCTTTCAGCCCTGGAGACAGAGTTGTCATTGTGGATGATTCCAATGAAGAATGGTGGCGGGTAAGGGGAACATTTTTTGCCTCCGGGTAGAACCTGACCATTTTAAATGAAAGGATTTGTTGTTGTTGGAAATAACACTACAGAATGATCTTCAAAAGCCCAGTAGCCCTGAAAGCATTATCAGGGACTTGACTCAGTTCAGTTGTTGACAATGTTCCTTCTAATTCTCTGGAGCTCTGCACAGAAACTCCGTCCTCTGTGCACAGAGTTCCAGCCACAAAGGGAAGCAAATGGGCAGAGATGTACGCACAGAGATGCATGCGCCTGCGTGGCTTAGAGGGAACATTTGGTGTTGTAGCTTTATAATGGGGCTGAAACCTCTGGCCTGTGGGACGAATTTGGCCCATGGAGGAAAGAGCCCCAGCCCTCTCTCTTAATCAGTATCTGGGATAGCTCTGACTTCTTTCCTTATTCTCTGTCCCGGAGGTGTGGTCTTTCATCTTTTTGGATGCCAACTCCAAGATTTCTCCAAGAATTCTTCAGGCAGAATTCTGGGAATTCCAGCCCACAAACACACACCTATATTTCACTCACTGGAGAAGGGCCTGTTTCAGGAGCTGTATAACATCCCCCAGCTTTGCTTCCTGTTTGTTAAAATATGAATAAAAGAAAGTGGTTGCGTTGTTTCCTGGGAGTTGTAGTTTTTTGGGAAGCACCTGCTGTAAGCCTAATGGACATTCAGACTACAACTCTCAAGAAGCATGGTAGCAGCTCCCCCCCCCTTTTTTTTAACATTAGCAACATCCTCTGGGGTAGGTCCTTCTCCAGGTGAGCAAAATGTAGATGCATGTCTATGGGCTGAAAGTCCCGGAATAATGCCTGGGGAATTCTTGGAGAATTCTGGGCGTTGGAGTCCAAAAAGACAAAAGAACACACCCCTAATAAGAAGATCTGGCTGCCTACCAAGAAATAGTTCCATAGACTTGCTTTAGAATTAGGATCCTTTAATTCTGATTCATGGCCTATATAGTATCACACTTGTAAGTTTCCTTCTCTTCAGTGCTGTCCAAGGCATGTCTGTAAGATGAACATAAACTGGTTTTAACAGTTAATGCTGCCCTCTGAAACCGACGTTGCTCAGACAGAATGAAGGGTGAACTCCCATGTGCCATTATGTCTGCATTCAAAGGCAATTGATCAGTCATTGTAGCTCCTGGCATCCAGGATCAATACTTCCTTTCTCTTGACATAGCAGCTGGATTTGAAGGGTCAGCAGCCACACTCGGCTGCATCAAGAAGATGCAGTGGAGACAATGTCGTTAATAATGGCAGAAGGACCGGCCCTGCGATTAGGCAGAGTGAGGTGACTGCCTCAAGTATGAGATGCTGGGAGATGAGGACAAGTAGGAAGAAGTGAAGGATAGGGCTTTGACTGTCACACAGGCTGTCCTGTGCCTCCTACATGACCCTCCTCTCTTCAAATGGGTCGGGAGATCCTGTCCCATTGCCAGGGTTAAAGGGCAATATGACCCACCCATCTGATTCACTTCCTTATGTAGAAACAGGAATGTGTTCTCTTGATCAGGAGAGTCAGGCAGGTGGGAAGATCCAGCCGGCTGTATGAAATCTTTTGATTACCTTTTTGTGGAAACAATCTACTGTATGATGCCATGAAGATAATTTGAAATTAGAGTAGTACAGTACTCTTTTGAAAAAAAAAACATAATAAAATCTGGGCTGTGTGTGTCTTATGCCATATCAGTCTTGAAAATACTTAGGACATTTAGCACTTCATCTTGCTGCTATCTTCATGGTTTGTTGGGCGACACCTTGACTGTTGAACTATTTAAATGTTTGTACTTTTGCAGACGTGTCTTTAAAAGCTAACTGTTTGTCTTCAAATGTAAGAGTGGCCAGTGCATTTTATTGGACCTTTAAAAAAACAAAAACAAATTGCAAGCATTTGTGGAGAAAATTCCACTTCTCCAGACTCGGCACAACCCCTTCATGGGTAGTGCAGAAAAATTGTACACAAGAGTCCAAAAAATTGGTGGTACACGTCTGTGACAGTTGATCTCAGTCCTCTAAGGCTGCGGTCTCAAGCCTCTTTGCAGCATGGTTAGGAATTTTTACACCCGTCTCTTAGGACCAAAAGGCTGCCAGTATGTGCTGTGTGGATCTCAGCCACCTTTTACTGAAAAGAAATATACCCAGCAGTGAAGGAGGAGATGGGGTGTTTTGCAGGGTAGATATAGGGTGGAAAATAAAAGTGGGGAGGAAATGCTTAATTCTTTGTCTGCCTATAAGTTCTCCACTTCCAAACAGCGGCACTGGCAGAGAACGGGGAAAGCCATATGCTTGCCTCCTTCCACTCTCAGGCAAATTCTAGGTTGCAGTTCCTAGTTGGGCAAAACATTAACTGTCATGTGAACTCATAGAGAATGGAAGGGGTTAAGCACCCCTTCCTCTCCAGTGAGTCTTCCCTGCAAAAGCCATCCCTCTACTTTGTTATTGGAGTTGCAAGGCAACTGCAGGATAGCAAACTCAATATACTGCTCTTACCCCATAATTCCATCCCAGACAATCATCACCTATGGAGAAAGAAACTTGCCCTATTTTATGTAGTAATAAACTGAACACTTTTTTTGAGGCATTTCAAGGAAATCTGCAAAATTAATTTCAAGTCTTTCCCCCTTATTGAAAATACTGCTTTTTAAAGGATTCAGTAGCTTCTCTTTTGCAATACTTTAATGTTGTCCATTTAGAACTCACTATTCTGAGAATAAGTGAAGAGAAATCTGGATGGGCAAATATTTACATATTTTGGAGGGATTGGGGAGAGAAAAGATACCAGTTTGGCAGAAACATATATTCGAAAGTAAAAATTGTATTTTGTCACACTTTTTTTTGTACGACAGGAAGAAATGTATGCTCATAATAGGGGAGCATGTACAGACAAATGTTAAAGATTCCCATCCTTGCTGTCTTGTTCAGGAGACAAATACCTAACAACTGTCTTGTTTCAATCTTGTTTGGTGAGGGGTAGGACTTGAAGTTGACTCTAGAAATCTGCCTTTATAAATCTTGCCTCTTTTAGGGCAAGAAAGTTGGAGAGGTTGGGGACAAAATAGGATACTTTCCACCCAACTTCATTATCCGGGTGCGTGCAGGAGAACGGGTGCTCAAGGTGACACGTTCCTTCGTGGGCAATAAAGAGATTGGGCAGATCACACTTAAAAAGGATCAGGTACGTTGACTGGAGGTGCAGCTTCACAGACAGAACGTTTCCTGGAAAGCTGGAACAAGGTTTAACTTCAGATCAAATGCTGGGGATGGACAAAGAAATGGGGGTCTAGTGTTTTGATCTGTACAAAGACTCTTCCTTGGGTGGTGCTTCATTTCTCCCCACTCTGCAGCCCCAGGTATTTCAAAACCCAGAGGTTCAAATCCCAGGTAGCCGGCTCAAGGTTGACTCTTCTGCAGCCGCAGGTATTTCAAAACCCAGAGGTAACTTTGGGAGCAGCTATTGGGAAAGAAATGGGACGGAAGTTACTTTATTGGTGCAAAAAGTAATTGTAGTAACTTTTTAAAGTTATATTTTCAGGATACAGTATTTTAAAGAGACATTTTGATAGGGTTCTCTGAAAAATATATATACTGTATACCATTCTCTCATTTATCTCAAGGTATTTATATTAAAGTATACCGTTTTCTCATTTATCTCAAGGTATTTATATTAAAATAATGAAAAACAATTAAAAATGAATATGTAGTGGCACAGGTAATCCATTAAAGTCATTTATTAAGTGATGGAACACAGTGAAAAAACAAATGAACAATAAAACTAATGGCACAAGTAATGTGATGGCCCAAATTCCTGTTATGTAAGGTAAGCAAAGTCATACCTTTCAATCCATTCTTCCCCGGAAAATAAAGAGCTCCTATCCCCAGCTGTGATTTTTTTGGGAGTGTATTTACACACTGGCATGGTGCATGTTCTAACTGGGGCTCTTTATTTGCTGGCAAGAGATGTGCCCAATTTATGACTTTGCTTATGTTACATGACAAGATTTGGGATGGTGAGTTAGTTTTAAAGCAATGTATTGAGCAACAACAACAGATTACTTTTTAAACTTCAAAGCCATCTCACCCATCATTCCTTTCCCCCTGCTTTAGATTGTGGTGCAACTGGGGCTCTTTATTTGCTGCCAAGAGATGTGCCCAATTTATGACTTTGCTTATGTTACATGACAAAATTTGGGATGGTGAGTTAGTTTTTTATTTATTTATTTATTTATTTATTGGACTTATATACTGCCCCATAGCGCTACAAGCACTCTCCGGGCGGCTTACAATTTTTCATTATACAGGCTACACATTCCCCCCCCCCAGCAAGCTGGGTACTCATTTTACCGACCTCGGAAGGATGGAAGGCTGAGTCAACCTTGAGCCGGCTACCTGGGATTTGAACCCCAGGTCGTGAGCACAGTTTTAGCTGCAGTACAGCGTTTTAACCACTGCGCCACGAGGCTCTTTTTAAGCAATGTATTGAGCAACAACAACAGATTACTTTTTAAACTTCAAAGCCATCTCACCCATCATTCCTTTCCCCCTGCTTTAGATTGTGGTGCAGAAAGGTGAGGAGCTGAATGGGTACGTGAAAGTCTACACTGGCCGCAAGGTGGGTCTCTTTCCCGTTGACTTCTTGGAAGAGATCTGAGTCCAGCCCTGGCATTGACCATTGTTTTTCATAGCCTGAGAAGGCCAGGTGGTTTCCTTGGAGAGAAATTCCCGACCGCCAAAGGACTCTCTGCAATGGAGTTGGGTCCCGTGAGTGCCTGTGGGCCAGAGTGAAGATATGCTACCAAGGCCTGTATCTCTGAGCTAAGATCCAAGGAGAGAAAGACATGTACTACCATTTCAGGGGCCTTGGTGTTCCCCTTGAACTCTGTGGTTTGGTGGTAGATTCTTGGATGGGTTTAGCCATTATCTCTTGATGACATTGCCATGGAGTTACTGGGATGCGGCCCAAGCCGTTTTGGTTCCTGCCTGCAAAGGAAGTGGAAAGTTCATGTTGACTGCCAGACTTGACAAAATGACATTTGCTGCTCCCCCTTACAAGTGGCACCAAGTGTGTGTGTGTGTGTGTTTGTGTGTTTACTCAGAGACTGATATAAATGGCTGCCCCTTTGCTTGTGAAGTCAGGCCTGGCTCCCATGTCGCTTGGATTGCTTATTGTTATGTTTTCCCAACATATGTTATCTCTCATGATCTAAAACAACCTACCAATCTGGGTATAAAAACAGGAGGGTTTGAGGCTGATGTCCAGCAAAATGATCTGACTACTTCAGAGGACGTGGGGCCGATCATATCCCGTTATGATGCTGAAGCGACATACCTCTCTCATTATCCTCTGCCTCCGTTTCTTGCTATTGTGTAATAGGTTGTTGTCCTCTTCCAATCACCTCTCTGGCTTTGTTATGAGGGGCCTGTTGTACTACTGATTGTATTATTTTATCATTGATATACATTTCTCTGTACACAACCACTAACATGGCTTTTTGCCTGTTGACATGTGATGGAGGAGGAAGTGGCAAGGTTGCTAAGAGCCTTGGTATGGAAAACTAGACCTTGCTACTATCCTTGTATACTTTGAGGTGGTTCAGAAGGGCTCAGAGGCCACGCTGAATGTGTGGTAGTAATGGTGCTGGCAGTAGGAGATGCTGTAAAAGCCAATCTTTGCTCCATACAAAGACGTTTCCTGGTTTCAGTGTTGCTCAGAGGATTGGCGGCAGGATAGACAACTTGGGAAGGTCCAGAGGCCAACTTGCTGGCCCCAGGAACTGCCAAAGACTGTTCCAGTCCACCCAAATAATCAGAAGGTGTGAAAAATCAGCAACAAAAATTCTGGCTTCATTTTTCTGGGTTAGGATTTTGGGGGGGAGCTTGTAGAGGGCTGTACCCTGTTTTATTATACATCCCCCACTCTAGAGGGCACTAAAATAGTCTGCATGTGGCTCTCCCAAGTTTCAACTTTCTCTTCCCTGGTTTATAGGCAGTATTTGGTAAGCAGTATTTGCAAAACGAAGAGTCGGACATGACTTAACGTCTAAACAACAACAACGACAATTTGCTATGCAGAATCTGCCCATGGTTGCTGTTCCTGGCCCAATCATACCCATTTGACCCAAACTCTTTGCCCACCTATGCCTTGTGAACATTTGCAAACTTATCACCATAGGTTCTTAAATGCAATTGTTGCATGTCCAGGGTTTCACATTTGATGATCGATGCACTGACAGCTGTTTTCTTAAAAATTTGTGAAGCAAGCTTGAAAACCTAATGTTTGTGCTCATAGCTGCACAGCTATCATTTGCCCCAAACATACCAAGGTATCAAAAAGTTCTAAATTGTGCTTGACTTTCACTTGCATTCTGTCTACATGCATACAACTTTTGTAGCAGGCCCCTTCCTCAGTGTTAAACACTTAGATGTTGGCAAGACAGCAGTGCTGCTCATCTCTCTCCTCCTCTAGTGCTGAAATCCCATTATCCTAGCATTTAGAGTCTCCTATGTCTAAGCAAGTGTTGCAGCTCTGTGGCTAGTGCTGACTTGTAAATAAGCCAGTGCTCTCTAGATATTGAGGTTTTACATTTTTTGGGGGGGATCTCCCCAACCAGTCCAATCACTTGGTAGCTTGTTTCCCTTTCATTTCATGGAAGTTTTATTCCATGTATATACGAATACTTTGGCTACATTCTCTTGGAGCCACTAGAGGGTGCTGACACATCTACAAAATTCGGGCTGTTTGGATATGGTGACCTCTTCTGAAATATTCATGATTGTTCCCTTTATCTTTTTCCAAAGACCATGATGTCCTCATACAGCAATACTGGATAATTATCTGTCAAAAAGCAGGAAGCCAGTGTAGCCGAACAAACGCAACTTTCTCGCTGATCCAGTCTTGATGCGAAAGTAACAGGAACAGGCTAAATAGCTTTTACCCTAATGAGTCTGGGCTCATTGTTTTCCTGATGCCATACTTAGTGATTTAGATTGTCAAAAAACAGATTTAGATAATACGAATAGCCAATAGGAACACTGGAAATGATGTTAAGTCTTAACCATGGTTAGTTACTAGGAAACAAGTTGATCCGACTTACATACCCCCCCATACCTCAAGATTCTTGTCCTGCTCCCCCCCCCGCCCCCGTTTCTCCTGCTAGAAACCGGAGATCTTCATGGCAGTTTCAACTTTGGATTCAACAGCTCTAAAAAGTGAAATTCTTTTGCATTCTAGCCAGTTGCCTGGGTTCTTCAGACCATGCGTTCATTTCTTTCCCACATTTCTTTTCCCATTTATTCTATCTTGAATGATCAGCTGCAATAATCTGTATATTATATTTCTCGTCATGTGAATGACATATTCTAGCTTTCTAGCATTTTCTATGTGTTTTTGTGTTTGTTAATTTGCCTTAGTACTACTTCACTGGTCACTCTCTGGATCCAGGGAATTATTAAGCATCATGTAGAATCCGCATTTCAGAGACTCCTACCTTTTTCATAATAGTCTATACTTCTCCCTTAAATAACACTGAAGTTAGGGGCTCCCATGTAGTTCAAAATCTATGTACAATTCTTATGTCTCCCATAATGTAATTGCAGAGCATAAACAGTTGGTTAACACACACACACACACCAACACGCACACAGAAAGAGAATAGATGAATTTATTGCATACAAATTTGCATCTCTAGCATCTGCAACTGCTTAAGCAAAGCAATCTTATTTTTCATATGCTAATTTATGCAAATCAACATCATCTTTGGGGAGGGGCAGAATGTCTTTCCATGGAATTTTACAAGTGTTTCCCCTCTAGAGAAGGCTGGCAGAAATGCACCACCTTTCTCTGTGTGAGTGATGCGCTATCCAAGATGATGGGCCAAGAGCAGGCTCACTCTTGGTCTACTGGTGTCTTCTTGAGTCCTTCCTGCATGAGCCATCCAGGAGCCAACTTTACCCCTCCTTCACCTCTGCCTCCTGATGCAGCGGGTCAGGCTAAGAGAGTGGGTCCCATGGGCAATACTTTCTCCTTTTGCAGAAGTGTGCCCGGAGAAGCCCAAGTGGAAAGGCGCTACATGAGTGTCACCAAGGTGAGAGCCCAAGGTTGACTCTTCCCTGCTGCTGTGACCTCCCCTGACCCACATCAGCTTCCCAGCATGCCTCACCAACTTCTTTGGCTGCCATGCGAGGAGTGAAAAAAAAAATCTATATCTAATCAAAATTGTGATACCCAGACCCATGCAATTCATGGGAAAAGTTGTATTTTAAAGTCTGTGAGTTCTTGCTATAAAGTGGCATTGAGAATGCACAACACGGTACCATGTGAAGATGAAGTAGCTCCAAACCAATACAGACCTTTATTTAGGTTGAAGCAGGAACTACTGAGTCCCCAAGGCTGGAGTCAAAATGGATTTGTAAACAAGGAGAGAAGCAAGAGTCAGACACATTAAAAAGAGAGAGAGGAAGAAATACACACATCACCTGATGCCAGTGCATGTGACTGTTGCAGGTTGGATGTGAAAGGCAAGTGAAAGGAACAAGGCAGATGAGTTATATAGCTAGCCAGAATATGTAGTCCATCTAGAGTAAATGTAAGTACTCTCAGGACAGGCCCTTGAGAAGGATCAGGTCCCTGTGTCTCCATCACTGGTGCTTTGCCATTCCAGAGAGGCATCCTGATGGGAGGCACAGAAGTGGGAGAGCAAAGGAAGGCCTGTCGTTGGGAGACGGTCTCCTACTGGAAATGATTTCAGGTTTGTTTTCATCTCTTGCAACACTGTGAGCCCCTGTGATTTCTGAGCCTCCTGACTTTACAGCCGTAGTCCGATTTCACCCAGAGCTCGGTCAGGCTGAGTCATGTGTAGGCAAAGAGGATGAGAACTTGGCAAACAGGGAGAATTTGCATTTCGGATGAGATGTGTGTAGGAAATGTTTGCATAGCTCTCTGATCAGATGAGATGGGGGGTTTGGGCAAAGAAAGCATATACACAGGGTGTTTAAAATGGCTTTTAATCTTCCAGGCATCTCCAGCTGCCTGTCTAGAACCTTTTCTGTACTTCCTTTGTGGGTGAGTAATGTTGAAGAAGAGAGCTAAGATGGGGTTAAGGATGCCCAAGGCAGTATAAGTGGAGTCTCTTTTTTTTGTCACTTAGAAGCGTAATTCACATTTAGAAAGCACATTTTGGACTACAGCTGTCAGAAACTCCAAGCCAGTGTGGTCATACAGGCTGGGGGATTCTGGGAATTGTAGTCCCCAAGCTTTAAATCCAGTGTCTACATATGGTTGTACATGCTTCCTGCCATTTTGAATCTGGCTACTTTACATTGATAAGGAGTGGCCAGATGATGAGGCACAGTTGTTCTGCACATGACACCTCTGACTGCAGGTGTATTCCTATTCACGGCATGTGCGAAACTACGCGTAATACAACTGTCTCGGTGCATGATTGCACTGCACAGTTGGAGGATTTGGTATGTGGAGCAAAAATTAAGAATCTGAAACATTCATTGCTTCTGCTGCTGCTACTCTTGTTTGTAAACAAGCAACTGATCCTCAGCGATGAGAGGTATCATCCAAAAAGTCTGGTCACTGTCTGGTGGGATCTCAAAACTCGGACGGGGCTGAGGTGGAATTCCAGATGTTGTGTCATGGCATGGATTGTCAGTATGTTTAACAATTAGGAGAAGAATAAAGTATATGAAAGTAGTAAATGACAGAGAGGTTCACACAGTTTATTTTGGTCCCACAATACGGCTTTTTTTGGCACGGACTATGGGTTACCTAGGGGTCAAGATATGCACACTAGTCGGTGTAATCCTACCCCCCATTGAAAAATATCCTGAAGTTGAAACCACAAAGTCCTTTTAATCCCAAGGACCCACATTTTGGAGATTTTTTATGAGATGCTGTTCATTGGGTTTTAGGATACTGTGGGTGCTGGCAGTGGAATTGTACAAAA